TGAAAATTAATACTAATTTAAGAATTCTACATCGTTTCCACACATTTAATATTACAATTCGATATGAAATATTCGAACTATCATTATTCTATAAGATAGATAAAATTTTAAATTACTTATTAAATTATAATTAAAATAATCAAAATATCAAAGTCGAATGATCAAAACACCAATTAAGTATTTCTGGGAGATTTAGTGGGGCTAAATAACCATTGAAAAAGTCCTGTGATTTTTCAAATTTTAGTTTCGTGTATGTTCTCCATTTTAAAAAATACACCAAATTTACATAGTGTAATTAATTATAAATTTTGTCTTTGTTTGAAGTAGCTCCATTTCAAATTACATGATAGATCCTTTTTACGACGTTATAGGGCATGCCTATTTTTACTTATGTCCTTATTATGCAGCCGGCCGGATCTCAAAATTGTGATACCTCCACCAAAGAAGAAATACAGAACTGTATCCTCTCTTCTTCTTCTTTCTGTCTTTATTATGTAGCCGGCCAGATCTCAGAATTAAACAGCAAAACTGAGCTATAAAGCCTCATTTTAATTGTAATTTAGAGACGGCCACGTCCACTTCACAACATGATTACACCAACCCCGATATCGTCTATTACCTTGCTAGCTAGCTAGCAAGAACGACGGCCAACTAATTATGCTTCCCCGGCGCACAAAATAGTATCAACCCTAAATATTCGCTACGAACTAAAGTCCATATCATTTTTAGATACCCAACCCATAACTTCGTTTCTTTTTTCAATTGACAATAAGACATAAAAAAGTTACTAATTGTTAACTTTACGGAAGAAGATTAGGGATGGCAATGGGGTGGGTTTGGGGCGGGTTTGCCTAAACCATCCCCATCTCCGCTTTCAAATATCCAAACCCATACCCGCCCCATAGCCATGCGGGGAAGATTTTGCAAACCCATCCCCATACCCGTGTGTTTCGGGTACCCATGGGTAATACCCGCCCCGTACATCCAACATTATAATACATAAAATTTTACATGTAAATTTTCAATTATAACATTATAGGCACCTATTATATCATGAAGTCGAGAAAGTGACAATAATTCTTAATATGGTTCAAAGCATTTTATCCTAAATCCATAAAATAGAGTACTACAATGTAATCCAAATCATTATTTATCTGACTCTAATACATATACTAAGCAATAATAAACTAATATAATCTTGCTAACACGAGGGAAAAGTGAAAGAGTGAAGAGAGAGCTGAGGAAAATGAATTAGGTTTTGATTTGGGTGACCACTCAATTGCATTTCTACTAATTATTTTTTTATTTACCCTCACTATCATTGATAGATTACTATTTCATCCATGTATTTTTTTTATGTGAACAAATATTCTTGGTGGGGCGGGTATGGGTATGGGTATGGGGCGGGGGAGGCTAAAACCATACCCGCCCCATACCCATCAAACATTTTGCGGGTTTTACCCATACCCGCCCCATACCCAGTCAAAGCGGGGATTCCCCGCGTTGACTGGGTCGGGGGCGGTCGGATACCCGTGGGCATGGGTTTGATTGCCATCCCTAAAGAAGAATCATAATATTGCGAATTGGTTTTGATTCGGACTCCGTTTGTACGATGATCTCTTTGAAGTGGAAGGAACTTGTGAAGAAGCTACATTTATTGTTAATGTATTCTTCAACGTTCAAGTCAGTATGATACAAAAAGATGGAGTAAAACATATATACAAAGAATTGTAGAGATAGAGAAAATGTGAAGCTAGACGAGGGATCCTTTGTTTTTTGAATTAAGGAGCGTTTATATATATGATAACTAGATGAACTTTGTTGCGACTATTTGATCCTTTGCTTGTTGAATTAAGGAGCGTTTATATATATGACAACTAGATGAACTTTGTTGCGACTATTTGACTTGTTCATCTCATTATTTGATTTTGTATGCTAGTTGATTTGATTTTATGGAGTTAACATGTGAAAATTGTGTTTTTAGTGGTAAATTAGTTTGAAAAATAGGAAAAATAAGTCAATTTATCGAGAATGATATTTAATAAAATAGGAAACACCTCATAAAGTATGGTTGGTGGAGCTGTGGAACCGAACCAGTTGATCGAATTGATGAGATTTCGTGAAAATATTGGTTAGTGGTTAATGAATTTATGTAATAAAGGATGCATGTGAATATTATTTGATATGCTGGAAAAAATATTTTTGTGGGTTAATCTTATGTCAAAATTTCTACCAATAAACTTCACTCTATATTTGAGATGATATAAATAAACAAGTGTTTACTTATTTGGATCACACCTATCTCGATCCAAATCCAATATTTATTTTGTCCTCTTCTATCTCAATCTAATTATTTCTAAAATCTTTCAGGCTTCCTCTAATTTCGCCAGAGATATTTTATTTCCAATTAATAATAATCTTCGTATTTTATTGATATTTAAAAAATTATCACATCACATGATGTTGGTTGTATATGTCAAAATATATAATGAATGATGTTAAAGTGTTAAAACAATCACAACAAATTCTTGAGGCTATAATAAAATTGGTAGTAGTGATAGAAATTTGAATCCGTCACATCGGATATTACCCTACCTGATCCATGTTGGGGTACCTAGTAGCATGGAATGAGGCATGTGTACTACTTTCATATTGCGTCGCCTTGTCCCGCATGTTCTTGATCTATTTTACCTTGATTTGTCTCAACACTTAATTATATCTCTCCTATTTTTGCTCATCATAAATCATATTTTTCACACAAATGATACTTTAAATCAAGGTTGTCAACTTGGTTTAGCCTGTTGACCCAGTCAAGCTAGTGAGTCAAGAGTTAATGGGTCGATCGATTTAGCCTAGTTTAACCTGATTTAACCCGAATATATGAAAAAAAACTATTATATTGTACATACATATATAAATTATGTTAATTCTCATCTAACATATAAATAATAACATATATCATTACACCAAAATAATAGTTAACCAACAAAATGATATAACACAATAATAGTTCTGTTTTTTTTTTTCTTTTCTTTAGCCGACGGTGGCTTCTCTTCTTTCTTTCTCTCTCTCCACATGATAAGGGGAGATAATACAAATCCTTGGTGAACATGAATCAGATTATAAACACCAAAATAATAATTAACCTACAAAATGATAAAACCACCATAATAATTCTGTTTTTTTCCCCCCTTCTTTAGCAGCCAGCCAGTGGCTTGTCTTCTTTCTTTCTCTCTCTCTCCACATGATAAGGGGAGGTAATACAAATTCTTAGTGAACACTAATCAGGTCCTATGTTTATATATATATATTAATTAATGAGTTTGCAGTTGCACCCTATCTTGACTTTCGATGGTGGGTTTTGATGTACTACTCGATAGGCTTGAAGTCTGAGGTCTTTGATGGCCCCTAATATTAAACACTTTTTTTTTATGATCGTAATTAAAAATAAAAAGTTATAAAAACTTCTTACGATTGAATTTGGATATTGCAACGAAGTATAGCCCAATAACTTAGCCATATTGTACATTTCAAAACAGAAAGTTCTTAACTATAATCTTGGTTGGACGCTGAAGCTCCAACCATCACGTGTTAGTTTGTTATAAGTTCATTTTTTTTAAATATGTTTAATGTTCTTAATTATGCTAAATAAATCAAGAATTAAAATATAAAAAAGAAAGATGAATAAGATGTAGCTTTCGCGTCCAACAAAAATTGAATATAAGAATTTTCCATCCTAAACTACCACCACCCTCATCCCATTATAAGCTATATATACGGCGTACCCAGTCACTTACAGTCACAGAAACAATACAATTTTCATAATTTCTCACACTACCATGAAGTCTTCTTCTTCTTCTTCTTCACTTGTCTTCCGCGCAGTCACAACCCTTCTCATCATAATCATACCATCCTCCCACGGCCACGGTGCCTATGATCCGGCCAAGCCATGCAAGCGGCTGGTCCTCTACTTCCACGACATCCTCTTCCACGGCGGCGCCGAGCCCTTCAACGCCACCTCCGCCACGGTCGCCAACGCCACCAAGCTCGGGAACAGTACCAACTTCGGGAAGCTGATCGTGTTCGACGACCCGATGACGAAAGACGCCCACCTCCTGTCGACGCCGGTGGCGCGTGCGCAGGGGTTCTACTTCTACGACATGAAGAGCGCGTTCAACGCGTGGTTCGCGTACACGCTGGTGTTCAACTCGACGGAGCACCAGGGGACCATCAACGTCATGGGCGCCGACACCATCAGTTCGCCGACCAGGGACCTCAGCGTGGTCGGCGGCACGGGGGATTTCTTCATGGCGCGTGGGATCGCCACCTTCCGCACCGACGCTGCTCTAGGCGACTACTACTTCCGTTTGGAGATGGACATTAAGCTGTACGAGTGTTACTGATATATGGACTAATTAAATATACGCACCATGATTATTGTGTTGTTATCTTCATCGTGATCACTGGTTTAGTATGTACCCTTAGTTAATCTGTTTAATTTGCTGCTCTACTTATGGTGTCATGGGTTGATGAATAAAACAATCATGACAATCGATGTTTTACCATAAATAAAAATACTATATATGTTCGTATGAAAATGAATGTTATGTATCTGTGTTGTGCAACATATGAGTATTTGTGTACACATAATTTTTCTCCACCGCTAAAAGCGTCACACAATAATTTTACTATAATCACCTTAACTTAAAATCAAAATTACTTCTATCGTCTTTCGTAAAAAAAATTAAATAAGCACTCTCATTCTCAAAAGCAATAGTCGGATGACCTCAATGTACTGTGATGTTGGAAATATATTATAGTGCTTTAAAATTTTTATTAGAAAAGGTAAATATGTATCCAAATTCAAAATCGCCGGTTCGGGTTTGACGGTTTTGCCCGGGTAGCCGGTTGAGCCGTTCGAGTTCCGGCCGGCTATATTTAATAATTAATATCCGTTCTAAGCCTTCCGCAACCGGAATCCTGCCCGCGGTCCGGGTTTTGATAACACTGTCCAAAACACGTCGTTTTGCCTCACCGATTTACCCACCATAGCCCTAGAAATCTCTCGCTTGCTCGGCGGACATCTCCATCTCCATCTCCAGCAGCCCCGCCCCATCATCTTTACCGCCATCATCGTTTCTCCATCGCCAGCCCCGCGCCGCCGTCATCTGCCCAGACCACCACCCCATCATCTTCCTCTCATCCCCGCGCCGCCATCATTTTTTTTTTCCTCGCCAGACCCGCGTTCGAGATCTTCTTCCTCTCCCTCGCCAGCCCCGCGCCGCCATCATCAACCGATAAATTCTGCTGATCTAGCAAAAGAAGAAGAGTTCAGCTAGGAGGGCTTGTTACTAAGAGCAATGGCGAGATACGATAGAGCTATCACCGTCTTTTCGCCCGATGGCCATCTCTTCCAGGTCGAATACGCACTGGAGGCCGTCCGCAAGGGAAACGCGGCCGTCGGCGTCCGTGGCACCGACACCGTCGTCCTCGGCGTCGAGAAGAAATCCGCCGCCAAGCTTCAGGACTCCAGGTTCTTTATCCTTCTTCTGCCTCTTCCGATCCCTTTTTTTCTCTAATTTCACCTTTTTAGTAGCAATATGTTAGGGTTTTTCGTAGCCTCTAGCAGTCACTCGCTGTTGATAAGATTTGAGCTGTCAGTGATATAGAAATCAATGGTAGTATTGTGTTTGCTTTAATAGGTTGCGGATGAAGTGGAAACGAAATTGTCGATTTCTGAAATGTTGCGCATGAACGATTGTTATCTTGCTTCATTCCAGAAACGTTTATTGCTTGCTATTTCTTATCTTTGCGCTGCTACAATCTTGCAGATCAGTGAGGAAGATCGTCAACCTCGATAATCATATTGCTTTGGCATGTGCTGGCCTTAAGGCAGATGCTCGAGTGCTAATCAACAGGGCCAGAATTGAATGTCAAAGCCACAGGCTAACAGTGGAGGATCCTGTCACTGTTGAGTATATCACCCGTTACATTGCTGGACTTCAGCAAAAGTACACGCAAAGTGGCGGTGTCAGGCCATTTGGGCTTTCGACCTTGATCATAGGGTTTGATCCATACACTGGGGTGCCCTCACTTTATCAGACAGATCCTTCTGGCACTTTTTCAGCTTGGAAAGCAAATGCAACTGGGAGGAACTCCAACTCCATCAGAGAGTTTCTGGAGAAGAATTATAAAGAAACTTCTGGTCAAGAAACCATCAAGCTTGCAATCCGGGCCTTACTGGAGGTATGTACTCATATCTTGTCCTATTGGATGTAGTGAGATGGGGGGATAATTTTTGGCAAAACCTATTGAGCTTTATTATGGTTTGTTGAGCCAACAAAGATCAATGTCTGGATAGCATATGGAACAGTTTGTATTATAGTTTGTAGAACCAATAAGATCAAATTCTGTATAGTATATGCAACGGTTTAACATGATTTCTGTCCGATGAAAGCAAGATAGCCTTGGTTACCAGCATTTCTTTTCCCTTAATGGTTATGAATAGTGAGTTTGCTTTGGAAGACATAATCTGATGTAGGTTTGGCAACAACAAAATTCCTGAATTTCATCTTAAGTTGAAACACATAGAGTCAATGTTCAGTTTCCTTCCATCATTTCTTCCTTTGGACTTCTTGCAAACTTGTCTTCTTTTTGCTAGACCGTATAGAATTCCTTATTGTATTAGCACATTCAACAGAAAGTATTGATTGACCGATTAAGTCAAGTTTGATGAAACTGGTCCATAGGATGCTGGTCATGTGTGGCTTTTGACATCAATTGTAAACTAAATTGTTCCAGGCTTCTTGCTGAACGATCATTGGTCGAAACCAACTGAATTAGTTCGTCACTCATTTGAAAGGGAAACAGCTGCTACATGTGTTGTGAATCAGCCTGCGAGATTCTGAAATTTTCGTTTGTGTGTAGGTTGTGGAGAGCGGTGGAAAGAATATTGAAGTCGCAGTAATGACGAAAGACCAGGGCCTACGACAACTTGAAGAGTCTGAAATTGATGGTATTGTGGCTGAGATTGAAGCGGAGAAGGCAGCTGCTGAGGCTGCCAAGAAGGGCCCTGCTAGAGACGCATGATATTAGGAACCCCCCTGAATTTGTTCTGCCAATGGGCCACAGGAACTTCCGTAGTTTATGTTATCTTGTGCTACAGCTCTTAATGTGTTTGAAGTTATCAGAGTTTGATTGTAGATTTCTGAGGTGCTATTGAACATTTCCTTTTGATGTATTTCAGTCTCCAGATGAACGGTGTGGAATTTCAACTTGGCAAATGATTTCTGAGCCTTCTGCTTTGTCTTTTGTTTCCTTTTTACTGCTTTTGAGGGCTCCGTCTCTCTCCCCACTTTTCTCCAAAACCCATTACCAACCAACACTTCAGTTTTCATTCATCAGTGGGGAAGAAAGGAAGGAAGAAAAACTAGGTGGGTGTGAGAGCGATTGATTGATTTGCCCTTTTTCTTTGCGCTGTGATTCTGCTCTCATCTGCTTCCCCATTTTTGTGCTTTTAGGTCTGCTATGTGTTTGATGCATTGTCTCAGAGAAAGAATCTTTGATGTTTGTGTTGTTTCAGTGATTTTTTCTTCCATCATTTTGCGGGGTGGTGTTATTGGCTCATCTTCTTCTCCTTCTAGGTTTCTGGGTCTTGCATATTGTGAGATCACCTAATCTGGGTAAAGTTAGCTTTATACCATATTGAGTGACTGTCGGTCATCTAGAACAGATTGAAGCTTCAGAGTCTATAAAGCTTGTACCTTTATTGTTCTTAGGGGTTCCTTCAAGTCCAGTGCTTGTCAAATCAGATCTTCGCGGGACAGCTCGGATCATGTTTTATTACTGCTTCTTTTAACAGGAAAGCTTATTGCTTGATATTGATTAGGGTTGAAGTCTGTTTCTTCGTTTGTTTACTGAGAATCCGATGGTTCTGTGTTGCAGAGAATAAAGGAGGTTTTGCGTGTTTCCCCTTTGTGGTAATGTTGAGGAAAAGAACAAGGTCAGTCCACAAAGATCAACAAATGGGTCTGCTTAGAGTCCGATTCCTGTTCTGAATCCTATCGCCGGTCTGAAAGCCACAAGACAAATTCATCGTTCAGTGTTCCTAGACTGTTTGTTGGATTTACCCCTAAGGTATTGTCTGAATGTCTGATTGTGACTCTGTGAAGAGCCCAACATCACCTCTAGATTTCAAGCTGCTTCCAGGCTCCAGCTGTAGGAGGAAATCCACCTTATAGCTCCCCAAGGTCATTCCATCAGAAGAGTTGGGATCGTAGCAGACTCGGCTTAAGCATTGTAGATTCTCTTGATGATGATCTTACCAAAACCTCTGGCGAAGTTCCTCGTCCATCGGTGAGTAGGAACATTCTTTTTGGCCCAGGGGTGAGAAGCAAGGCATCAAACTCTAATAGTCATACATACAGTGCTGTCGAGGCAGCCAAGTCACTTCCAAGAAATTTTGCTAAAGTTCCTCGTAATACCCACACCAGATCTTCCCTCCATAAGGGCAGCACTGATGTTCTTTTCGAAATCGGAGTAGCCATAGATGATCCTGAACCACCCTTTGGAAAAGTCAGGTCTTGTTCATTGGATTCTTGCAGGTCTTACTGAAACCTGTCATCTCCGAGTGGCCAGAAGTGCAAACCCAGTTCTGGAGCTTCTCGTTTGTCTAACTTAACTACTGCCCAATTGAATCCTCCTGTATTAGTTGGAGGGAGCGTGGCTACAAATGAGTTACCTGGTCCTGGTGTGAACTCGAGTTCTGCGGTTAGCACTCTCTCAGCCAGTGAGATTGAGCTCTCAGAGGATTATACATGTGTTATTTCACATGGTCCCAATCCAAAAAAGACTCATATCTATGGTGACTGTGTTTTTAGAATGTCACTTGGATGACTTGAGCAATTTAGGCAACAAAGGAGAGACTCATCATGGTAATATTGGTGAGGTATTGGAGAAAACAGATGATGCTCGTGGCTCTCGCCATAGCCCACAATGGTTGCCTTGAGTCATCGGATGAGGTGACCTTTAACACTATCGCACTTGAGAAGAAAGAAAATTTTAAGTTAGAATAATTATGTGTAGTATTAAAAAAAATCATTGTTGTCCGACTTCACTTTGATAAATTTTTCGCATATAAAATGATTACTACACGATAATATTTTCATACTACCAAGAATTAAATTGATCTGTAACAAAACAAAAAAAAAATGCTCCAATATATATCAAATGGATGTTGTAAGACTTCCAATAGAAGTAGGGGTTGTAAATCCGATACCGAACCGATAAGGTGGTTACTGGTTTATTGATAATCGATAATTTCTTATTGGTTTGGTTTCGCTTAACAGTATCTTGCTTAGTGGTTAAGTGCTAGCTGACTAATTGCTTAACAGTATTTTGCTTAGTGGTAAAATCACATAATTTTGGATTTTTTTTCTAAGGAAAAAGTTCCAACATTAATAATCAACCAAAGTTGCAATTTCAAACACCTCAATTCCCACCTATTGCAAACAATCATTTATCAAGATTCTCAAATGTGTTTAAGAGTGAAAACCCAAAAGTTATCCCTCTCTAACTCCCATTTGTAGTCGACAGAGCGAACCTTGCACCCTATTGATATTTTTTCTTTGATATTTGTGAATGATGATGATCTTGTGGTGCTTGTGTTCGATGTCTTGTTGGTTGGTACTCGCTAATTGGATGGATAAGTTTGATTCTTTTTTTATTTTATGCATTGGGTTTTGGATTAAATTATGAATTCTCGATGAATGTTGTATTGATATTAGTTCTTAAATTATTATTATATGTCGCAATGTAGTAAAGCAGTTAAAATATTTTGAATTATTTGTATGATTATTTATCTTTGATATTTAGTACTCTTGGTCATTGTTATCTTTGTGGATTGAAAATGATGTTAAATTATACATGCTAAACTCGATTTGATAATGATTTTGTATTACAAGTCGTTATGGCTTGGATTTATTATATTTCGTGAAAGAAAATTTAAGCTATTGGTTCGATATTTGGCCGGATTAGGTATAATCACAGTTGTTGAAATGTGCGTTAGTGGTTATTAATTAACTGCCAAACTAACCGCTAACTAAACTAATAAAGGACAATCAATTGATAAGACTTCTCGATATGAGTTTTTGTTTATTGCTTAATTACTAATCATCATATCAGTTACTGGTTAATCGAAATCAAACCGTAATGCACTCCTGAATTAGAGCACTTATGATTCAAAACACATTCGAACACCACATCATCTCGAAAAACGAATCGGGCTGCTCATTCTGTGGTGCGTAATGCCATACGCTATCCTGGTATTAGTAATGTCCTATTTAATTATTCGTAGATGGTCTGTCTTTGAGTCCGTGTAGCCGTAGGGCATGTAATTGTTGTGGCCTCACACCGAGTCACACGCTTATCTAGTCAATGGACAAGGATTTCTATGGGAAAAAAAAACACGGGCCGGGCTTTACCAGCTTATTCTCAGAGTACCTCAGAATGGGCTTTTCCCTTTGTTCTTCGTTCTTCCATTCTAGCTGGCCATTTGTTCTTTGTTCTTCTCTGCTGGCTGGCGATTTCAGAAAACGATCGGAGAAGGCGTAAAGGACTACGGATCGTGACCTAACCGGCGGCGTCGAGTTGGTTCGAAGGAAAGCAAGTTCACTCTCTTGTTCGGAGGATCAGCAATTTCCCAGTAGGACACTCTTCTCTTTCTGTCGATTTATTAGGGTTCGTGTTTCGACTGATTTGTTTGCCGGCGAACGGGTGCCTGAAGATGGATTACACGTTGAATTAGAATCGATTGAATGTAGTTATTGTTTTGTTGTGAAATGGATTGAATAAGGTTTTCTCAATCATTTGAGTCGGCCAAAGATTAGAAGATTGGTAGTGGATTCTTGGTCACTGGCATGTCCTTGGAAAACCCAGGGTCCAAATGGACGTAGGCATTAGCGATGAGAGCTTGTCTCCTCCACGCGCCAAGTGGAGAAAGGTGGCATATGGAGGAATGCAACCTGGATTCGATGACAATCACACCGACGAGTTGTTTCTCGAAGATATGGTGATGAATGCCAATGTCGTGAAAAGGGACATAACGAAGGTGATCTTGGACTCTGTTTCCATCTCTCAGTATCTCTGCATTGTTTCCCTTGTCATCTTGGTATGGACCTACACCCTCCAATCCACACTGGACGAGTATTCCTTGTTGTTTCTCGATGTCGGTCTTCTCGCTTCAGGCTTCGTTACTCTGCTACTAACCAGAGAAATGTGTTCGCTCGGTCTGTTCTTCCACTATCTTCTCAACATTGGGTTCTTCACCACGGGGTTATACGTGTTGTCGCCTATATACAACACCCTGACTAGGTCGATAAGCTCGGACACAATCTTGGCAGTGACAGTTTCACTTATTGTACTTCATCTCTTCCTCCATGACTATTCAGGATGTCCCATAGGGGTTCCAGGAGGAGGAGCCTTATTCACATCTCCAAGCTTGACCAGTTGTGTGAGCTTAAATGCTTCTGTGGTTGCTTCAGTTTTTATTGCCTCTCGCCTTCCGTCGAGGCTTCACGTTTTTGCCGTCATGCTGTTCTCTATGCAAGTCTTCCTGTTTGCTCCATTCGTCACTTACTGTATCAAGAAGTGTTCTTTGGTGCTTCACCTCGTCTTCTCCTGTGGGTTGATGGCCTTGACGCTCAGCCTCGTGTATGCGCTTCACAAGCTGCTGTTTGTAGTGTTGTTGGGTTTGTTGGTTTTCGTCAGCGTCGTTTGTCCTTGCTGGCTGATAAGAATCCAGGAGTACAAGTTTGAGATCAATGGTCCGTGGGATGAAGCTAAGCTTTGTTTTGACATAAGGGATTGAGACTTGAGAGTTTGTTGTTTGCTGTATAGAAACTGTTGATTACACGTTACTTTTGCAGCCCTTTGTGTTCGCTCTTCTATTTTTGTTACTCTTAGCTTGAATTTGGTACTGCATACGAAACACGTGCTAATGGTAATCTAACCTTTGTTAGACGAAGTGGATTGAGAAAGGTATTCGGCACGAATACCAATTTGATTGTTCTGAAATAGGAGCTGGAAAATTCAGAACCAAAACAATCCGCTATACATTGACGCTTATGTGGGATGTTGCAAACACTTGAACCTGGATTGATTTTGTTGTCTATCACGTTAATTTTGACGGAAAATGGTTATTAAATCGTATTTTAAAATGTTTCGTTATTAGTTTGCAGTAAATAAAAGGTTTGTTTATTAAATTGTTTTGGTTCCTTATTTTTGTTGACAAGTCAAAATGCAACATCCACATTTAGTATAATTGGCCATGTTAGAGCACGTTTGACTCGATGAAAATTTAACACTTAACAATTTAATTATTATATTGTTTTTCACAATTTGACTATTATATTATTTTAATCCAAAAATTATTTACATAAACGATTATATATTATATATTGTGTGAATGTTGGCAAACCTTACATTTTGTGGTAACAAAATTTGATCCACATAGCTTGATAAGATGTTAATCGAAATTATTTACACCCACTATGTAGCTTCTTTAGTGGTGACACTACTCACAAGTCTTTCAATTGTAACAAATCTAGTAAAAGAAATAATCGGTAAAACTCTAACCCATTATCACGCGGTGGCGGAGCCAAGGCAATGGGAATGGGGTCTTAGGACCCTACTTGGTAACAAACATGAGTTGAAAATACTCAAATGATTGCTTTGAATTTGATTAAGGACCCCGTAGTGAATCATCTCATCCAACATATTAAAACTTCTGATGTATCTTCACCTTGACTCCTGTTATATCGCAGTCATTCAGGACACCACTCAAGTTCACGTCTCGCTACGCCACTGATCACATCGTTAAGATACGATTTATTATTTATTTTTCAAAGCCCCCACCTAGATTTCTAATCCATCTTAAACACGAACTTCTAACACTGTTCAGTACTCACCTATGTACACTTCGCTGCTACTTCACTAACTGGCTAGTAGCTAGGCCGCCAATTTCCTAAGCTCGAGCAGCAAATGAACCACAACCCCACACAAGAACCCAACCGCCGCACCCGAACCGACGAGCGAAACCGAACAAACAACCAGCATCACAAACGCATCCTCCTTCGACCTCATATCTCTGGCAGCAATCGCCAGCTCAATCCCAGCAAACAGCAACAAAACCCCCAAAACCCCAACCGGAAACTCCCGCAGTATAACCACGAGCGAACCGCCCAAAACCAACCCCAACCCCAACTTAACCAACCCCAAAATCGCCACGCAAGAACCGGACCGCCCTCCGAACCTGTACTGCCCGGCCAGGCCTCCCGCTCCGTGGCAGCACGGCATCGCTCCGAACCAGCAACCAACCAGGTTCATCGCCCCGACCGTCACGGAAACGGAACCAGCCGTGAACTCCTTCCTCCCCGGAAAGAGATCGGACGACAGCTTGCAGACGGCGATCACGGAGTTCAGCAACGATAACGGCAGCTGCGGGATCGTCCCCTTTAGAAACCCTGTTTTCCAGGCCCGTCTCGAGATCTTGACTATTTCGATCGGGGATGGGCCGAACGTGATCTCGTCGACCATCTCGGGCTTTCTTATAAAGCCCAGTACCAATCCCAATGTAAACACCAGAAACGCAGAAGGTAGCGAGGAAATGACTTTTCCAACCCTTTTCAGAACTCTGTTTCCAGCTTCACAATTCCCCTGTTCTTCCGCGCTCTCCTCTGTTTCCCCGGCGCCATTAACGATCACGATGAAGCAGGCGCAGGAGATTGCGAGAATCAGGCCGTCAAGTCCGGACCAATCCCTTCCGCCGAGGTCGGATTTGGGCTTGGAGAAGTTTTGGGCCTTGCGGACGTACTTGACGGCGGTGAGCGCGAAGGAGAGGCCCTGGGAGAGCTGGATCCCTCTGACGACGGAGAGAGGGATTAGTTTGTAGATCCATTGCATCAGCCCCGTGACGCCCAGGATCAGGAGGGCGCCTCCGGTGCAGATCCCGGCGGCCATGATCTCCGGGACGCCGAAATCGGGGGACGAGATTGCGACCGCGGCGATGGATTTCATGGGCTGGACGGGCATGGGGACGCCGTAGATGGCGCCGGTGACGATGTTGTAGATTCCGGTGAAGATTAGGGTCGTGCCGAGGTTGAGGTCCTGGGAGAGGGTTAAGGCGAGGACGATCGGGATGTAGGTGCCGAGGTCGCCCATGGCGCCGTTGAGCTCGGCCCATTTGGAGCGGATTGCCAAATTGTTCTTCAGGGTTCGGAGGATTGTGGTTGTGGGCGGTGGTGCCGGGTGGTTGGTTGGGTTTTGGTGGGTCGGCGGTGAGTTGGGTATAGGGATAGACGTGTGATGGTCCGCGCTGTTCTGCAGAGACTCCATTGATGCATGCGGTGCTGCAGACAATGATGGACTGTACTGTGTTTTTGAAGAAATTGAGTGAAGTGAGTCTAATTGGGCTCTGACATATATAGTTTAGAGAAATGGCCAAAAGGTAATTAAGAAGAAGATCATTTTTGAGAATATATTAGAGTTTGTGAGTTACGCAAAGTCCACGGCCATTTTCAAGGTGAGAGCTGGGGAAGAACTGAGCTGTTTGTTTGACACTCCTGGTCCTGGATCTGTTGCAGTATTCTCCCTTCTCCCCCTTTGGAGGGCACGAGGGGCCACCATAACCTGTGCTACAATCTCTACCTCTCTATTTGCTTACTATGGAATATCGGCATCTTTATTCTCTTCCATTAATTAATGGCTACTTCTTCGTCCCATTGTTACTTGAAGTATTCTCATCGAATTATTGAAAACGTATATGTACAAATGGCTAAATTATACGTTGCAACACTCAAATTACATAAAATTTTCATCACCCCTGAATTATTATTTTTTATTCGCTATTAACTTTATGAATCATTTCACTTTAGCCACCAGTCGTTAGTTTCCGTCAAACTCTGTTAACTCCATCAGTTTTATGATGACATGGCAAACAGACTGTTGACTTCGGAGTGGCTGCAGCGGCCACCGTGAACTTCCTTCTTTACTGCAAAATCCCACTACTTGGAGCAAATTTCGCCAAAACAACAACAATGGCGTCGGTCAAGTTCCTCTTCAGGTACCACAGTCGGATCCTCCCACCCCATCACGGAGACACCAAGCTACAATATGTCGGCTCAACGACTAGGTCACCGAGGTCCTCTCCGTCAACAACGTCGACTACACCATTGTCTCCTTCATCGACCTCATATCCAAGCTCGCCGACCTCTGGGGCGAAGCCGCAGTCGAGCTCAGTGTCCGATTCCCAACAACGATCTCGAAACAGTCGTTTCAATCAAGTCCAGCAAAAACAGAGGGAGAGAGAGAATTGTATCACTGATGGCAGAGGTCGTGGAAATTGAGTCGGGCAAAGTCGCCTCCCAACTTGTAAGCTGCCTCATCTTAAGCCCGAGCAGCTTCTTCAGCGGTGTCGAAGGTACCCAACCAGAGCCTGGTTCAGTTCTTGCGCAGCCTGATCTCCGCAACCCATTTGCCCTAGTGGCGCTGCCTCACTCTCGTGTGTAAAGTTTCACAGGCAAACGTGAAAGATTTGTATAATTTGAGTGACCAAATGTATGTGTAATTTAGCCATGTACAAATATATAAATGTGGGAAGTTTTAGTGTACATTGAATGGACGAATAAGGAAGAACTTGTTATTTAAACTTTGAATTGACCATAATGTTAAACATGATAGTATAATTTTAACCCTTAAAAATTAAAATTTAGGCCCTGATTCTCTTAATCTTATACACTAAAATCGATTTAGTTGGAAATAATAATTAACCTATATGCATCATTTAATCACCTGTAAAACAGGGAGTGTAATAAATAAAGCCACATAAGTTTATCGACAGAAATTCAGAATAAATAAATGAGGGTCATTCAAAGTTGTCGAAATTATCAAATACAATACTGATACATATCAACCATTTCTTTTCTTTTTCTTTCGGTCCACCTCGTCAGAACAAATGTCAGTTATGTTTGGCTCGACTTGTGGATGTGTTTTTATACTTCAAAAGCTGAAGTTAGACCAAACATTTCTATAAGTTCGGCTTTTGTCAAAAGCCGAAAAGTATTTTTTGGTAGTATAAAAATAAAAGACAAAAACTACTTTAAAAATACAAGATTATCTTTACTATTGTTTTTTTATTTATTTAGAAAACAAGCTTTTCTTTCATTTTTATAATTTTAAAACAAAATAATATTATTTAGCAGAACTCAATCAAACTTATCCTAATATCTTAACAACCAAACGTGATCCTAGATTTCACGTATCAACAACGTAACATAACAACCCCTGAGAGTCTCTAACGTATAACGTCGTCATACACATCTCAAACCGAATCAAAAGTAACGCTCTAGCTAGCTAGCTAGCTTGCTCTTCCAAACTCCATTGCAGCAACAATGGAGTCCTCATCACCACACAAACCCACCTCCGTTCTACCCAAAACAACGATCCCACACAACAAAAGACCCAACACCACCACCATCCTCCACAAACTAAGGCAAAACTTGGCCTATCAATCCATATGGGCAGAGCTCAATGGCGCCATGGGAGACTTGGGCACATACATCCCCATCATCCTCGCCTTAACCCTCTCCCGCGACCTCAACCTCGGCACCACGCTGATCTTCACGGGCCTCTACAACGTCGTAACGGGGGCAATTTACGGCGTCCCGATGCCCGTAGAGCCCATGAAATCCATAGCCGCCCTGTCCATAGCCAGTAACGGCACGCCGTCGGAGGAGGTGTTTGGGGTGCCGGAGATGATGGCTGCAGGGATTTGCACCGCGGGAGCCATGTTGCTCCTCGGAGCAACAGGGCTCATGAACTTGATATACAAGCTCATCCCTCGTTGTGTGGTGAGAGGGATTCAGCTCTCTCAGGGGCTTTCCTTTGCGCTCAATGCAGTGGAGTACGTCAGAAAGGAGCAGGATTTCTCCAAGCCCAATTATGGAAACGGGGAGAAGAGAGGTTGGTTGGGGCTTGATGGGTTGATACTGTCCATTTTCTGTGCTTGCTTTATTGTGATCGTTAGTGGTTGTGGTGAGGCAGGGGAAGATGCAGGGGAAGAGGCAGGGGAGGTGATTATAATGGAGGTGGAGAATGGTGATGAGAGGGAGAGAGCTGTGAGGAAGGCGATTGCTTCATTGCCTTCGGCGTTTCTGGTGTTTAGTTTGGGAGTGGTGTTTGCATTCATAAGGAAGCCGAAGATGGTTTACGAGATACGATTTGGGCCATCTCGAATGGAGGTGGTGAAGATCTCGAAACAAGCGTGGAAGACCGGGTTCGTGAAGGGGACGATCCCTCAGCTGCCGTTATCGGTGTTGAACTCTGTGATCGCGGTGTGTAAGCTGTCCAACGATCTATTCCCCGCGGGGAAGAGACTGTCTGCAACTTCGGTATCGGTGACAGTTGGGGCGATGAACTTGGTGGGGTGCTGGTTCGGGGCAATGCCGTGTTGCCATGGAGCTGGAGGGTTAGCTGGGCAGTACAAGTTTGGAGGGAGAAGTGGCACTTGTGTTGTGATTTTGGGGGTGGTGAAATTGGGTTTAGGGTTGGCGTTGGGGAGCACACTTGTGGTAGTACTGAGGGAGTTTCCAGTTGGGGTTTTGGGGGTTTTGTTGTTGTTTGCCGGGATCGAGCTCGCCATGGCTTCGAGAGACGTGAACTCGAAGGAGGATGCTTTTGCTATGCTTGTGTGCAGTGCCGTCTCGCTTGTGGGATCGAGCGCGGCTCTAGGTTTTCTATGTGGGATTGTGGTGCATTTGCTGCTGAAGCCTGACAAGGTGGTGATGATGGTGATCAAGTTGGTTTGTGGTCTTAAGAGACGTTGTTGTTAAGGTAGTGAATTGAAATGGATGACGAGAAATTACTTTGATTTGCATGAATGTTTACCTAATTTGAACTCTTTGAATTTTTTTCATTTTCAATTACTATAGTAGAGTAGAATATACAGTATCACATAGGACATACAATATACAAAAGCTTGAAGCTAACAAAGAGAACCTTGCTCAACTCCTGCCTGACTTGTGTCACACGCAATCATAGTAAAAGGCTTAGTATGCATTCTGAGGTGCCTAGCTAGTCATGCTATGTTGGCAACATTGGTTGGTTGCTCCTCAATCAAATCATGTGAGGACAAAAAGACATGAAGAAATACAATAGAATCCCCAGAACAATAGAAGCCAATAGTTCTCGGTGGTCATGATCGAATTCTAAGATGTTACCTTAGGCTGGAATTTCGATTGGCCATGTAATGAAATACTGTCAATCAGCAATGTCAGGTACTCTGTGTCCATTTTGTAATTCGAGCTTATAAGAGAGTGTCATGTTCTATCCAAACGGGTTTCCTCCCCTTGACGGGAGTGAGTTCTGGCGGACATGGAACGAGTTTCCTCCACCAGGTCGTTGTTGCTCAACCATATTTAATGAAGCAAAAGGGTCCTCACCACTGCCAAAGCTACCTCCTTGCTGCCTGCAAATGATATGCATAGAAATGACACAAATTTCTCACATTAATTTCTTCCCATGTAAACTTTCTTTGGGCCTAAGAATCCACGTATGAGTTATGGAACCAAAGATGACAACTAAGAAGAGTTGAGGAGCAAAATTCTAACCTAGAATGTGACACATTCATATGCGGTTGGTGCTCCATGTATGAGCCTGAAATATTGAGAGAAATGAATGAAGCATTTACAGTCATGTAGGTGACTTTGGATAAAATAAAAAATATGGGCATGTGAAGATTAGAGGATTCACCAGAAGAGATCGTCGATTGAAATGGGAAAGATTGGGAAGGGATTTGAGAAGCCTCTGGGATCATAGCTGAAGAAATGTGACCCATGCTGGAGCTAGGAAACAAGTTGGGACGATGTGGCACATTAGAAGGTGGTGCACCTCTAAAGTTCCCCATGGTAGGATACTAGAACGAGAAACATAACAAGTCATCAATTAAGTGCTGCTACACTCCCCAATTTTTCAAGGTAAACAATCCTCAGAAAATACCCTGAAAGAAGGCTTTATTTTCCGCATACCGGGTGTGTTTGTCTCTGAGAGTTGTCATCAAACGGGTTTGTTGACTTCATGGTGTTGGGGTATGCCATGACTTGCTGCCCAATAACATCAAGATAAGAAGGTTGAACAAGTTAAGATAGATTTTTTTTGGTTGCCGGAGGTTACCATTGGATTGTGATAATATTGCGTGCCAAAGCCCATGTCATATGGACTACTACCATACTGCCAACTTGATGAAGGTCCTGGTGTTGGCATGAAGCTTGATGCAAACAGGTCCTGTGGAAAAAATAAGGAGATGTAACCATTACAAGTCTGAATAATTTTATCAAACAATCAATGCAAATATAAGGTTGTGGCTATTGTTTACCACAGGAAGTTCCTGCCTCCCACTAGACTTTGTTTCTAAAGCAGTGGTAGATGGTTTCTGAACCCCAGAGTTAGATTCTTTAGCTAGTTGGGAGATTTGTTGTGAAGCTGAAGCATCTGAAGGTCCTTGCTCATTACATGTTTCTGTGGAAGTAGATGGCTGTGGAAAGACATAATAAGCACAAACTAGACCACAAATATGTTTTTTATGTTCATCACCCTATAACTTTTATCAACTTGACTATAGACTTCTTTCAGAGAAGAAAAGAATGTTAATCTAACCTGGTTGTTTGTATCTCCAACAGATGCAGTAGTTGTCTGGCCTTGTCCAATAGAGCAAACAACTACAGAAGGTATCATGTGATTCATGTGTAGTTTTTCTTGTTGCTTAACCTTGTCACTGTTGTGAGTTTTAGAAGAGGATTCGTGAAAAGAGTCAGATGTAGCTTCTGATGTGCCACCTCCATTGGAAGGTTGCACAGACAAATTAACAGTTGGTGGAAATGGAGAAGCATCGAAGGCCTCAAACAATGAGAGTGACTGCCTGTAGGGCTCTGCAGGTGAAGATCTTTCAGATCCGTCACAAGGTGCCTGTAATGTTTGATCCAAAGACTTGGCCGCTGAAACATTATCTGCAGGCAAGTTCCGGGAAGATTCCAGCATTGAAGATCCAGGATGATCACATGTAGTTGATACCCCTATGGAGGTACTTCGATCCGAAGAAGCACCACCCACAGCAGTATTGACTTCTGATACAATCGATGGATGAGTGTTACTCGCTTCAGAAACATTAGCATCAGATGATGCAACCGGGGGAAAAGACAACTCAAAGAGTAAAAATTCGACAGTGTTCGGCTTTGGTGCTAAAGGTTCTTTCTTCGTGGAGGAATCAGTTGAGTTGTCACCAGAAGGATGTTGTACTGTGGCCAGAGGTGGTTGTTCCACAGGCTGGGAGGGCTTGGAATCATTATTTAAGTCAATCAGACTTTCTAAATTTTGAATTTTCTCTTCTGCAATAGTAGTATCAGTTGGCGCCTTGCTGGAAGAAGGTGTGACAATCTGCAGAATTACAAAATCATGTAAGCTGCATGTATGTATTTCTCAAACAAAATATTGCCAGCTCTCAAACAAGGTGTTAGAAATGTGGAAGAAAAGTTTCCTTACTACTAATAAAGAAGTTAAATTTGCTAACCTCATCAGCTTCCTTCCCTTCACTTATCTCAGACTGCTTGGCTACTTGTACCGCTAGGACATTTTTAGCAGGAGGTAACACTACTGATTTAGACCCATCAATGGTTTTCTTAGAGACAGGTGACCTGCTTCGACACTCAGATCTGGATTCTTTGCGTGATAACCTACCGCCATCTGATGGTTGGCCACTTCTACTTTCATTGTCTCGAAACCTATCATCAACAACCTCAAAGCGAACAGGGGATTTCTTAAAGTCTCTGCCATATTTTGAACTTTCTGGGATATAGCTAGGACTTCTCATTTCGTCGTAATAATATTTGAAGCTTCTGTCAGCACTCAATCTACTAGAACCATATCTGTCACGAACATATCTCTTGTCTTGGAAACTCGGGCTTCTGGTCACCTCATAGCTAGGACTTCTAGTTACCTCATAACTAGGACTCCTGGTCATCCCAAGACCCGAGCTTCTGGCTATCGCGTAACTTGGACTTCTCCCATAATAAATACCACCACCTTTCCTTCCGTCATAGCGCTCATCGTTATCACCCTACATCAGAATGGGAGGAATTCAAAAGAAGAGGTCTTCATGTTGCTTGACGAACAAGAAAGCTCAAAAAGACCAATAGATATGTATTTCAGTATTATGTTGGTGGATTTACCACTCTCAGCCTTCTAAGCTTCTCATTACTTCTTTCCCCAGTATATTTTCTTTCAACATAAACATGCTTGATGAAATCCCTGAGTTTGTGAAGGTCGCTGAAAGTGAAACACAAGAATTAGACAACACAGAATTACTGAAGTTTCCGATTATTCAATATAAAATAGTCATATCCACCTGCCATCAGGATAAGAGTTACGATGTTCATCCCAATATTTAAAATAAATTTGCCTTGCCCTCTACAAAAGAGAACACATTTAAGTTAGACTAGGACTATAATGTTCTGGCAAATGTTGCAAAAGCCTGTTAATCCAGAATAAGCAGACCTCATTTCCCCCTGTCTGAAGAGCATTGACTTCTTCATATGAAAATTTCGCCATGGACACTGATTTGACACGATGAGTGAATTCCCGACTGGAATTTATAGAGTGTAAAATTATTGTCCCTTACTCAGAACCAGAATGAGAAATAATCTTTGACCACATTTTTCTGAAATTCCAGCAATTTGGAAAATTTTGTGCAAATATAGGAACATAGGATAGGATAAATAAAACAAACTCTAAGACTTACTGCACGCCACTGCAATTTGTGCAAACGAACGTCAAGAAGGTTGTGCATACATATTGTGGCCCCTGTAAGAAGAGAAGCATAATTACACAAAGTTAAAAGATTGGATGAATTGTTGGTTGGCTAGTACACAATGCAAGAAATGGTACAAACAGGGTGCCCTCCTGCTAAACAAGACATGTAACGTAGTAAACCACTCCTTCAGAAGATATTGATATCAATGCCAATTTCAATTGGGTCATGCATTAGGAAGCCTCAAACATATAATCAATAATACAATGATGCAATTTGCAATGAATACCCCAAATCTTAATCTAGCTAACCTCTGGATACCAAAGTCCAAACTAATATTCGCCCTTAATCCATTGACATTTTTAACAAAGATCATATTAACAGGACAAATCATCCTCGATTATCAAAGGCCTGATACCATGTTAAAACCAATTCGTGCCCGTAACACGGACTTTTAAGAGTACCCAAAATGCATGGTATATCATCCACAGCCAACTTCATTACCCTAATGCAAAACTAAACTTCATTCAACAACTGGGTTTCAAAAAAGGAGAAGTTTTTTTTCCTGAACATACCAAGCTGTTGCAATTGATGCATCTCCGATTCTCGGGAAGCTTAAGAAGACCACGAATGATCTTCTCAATTTTGTCCTCTTCCTTCTCTTTCTTCACCATTGGAATAAGCAAGTCGTGCCTCCGTCTATCTGTTTGAAAGAACAAGCCAATGAAAATATCAACTTTTAGGGTTCCTTAGGAACAAAAGAGAAACACCCATTGACGTTTGTTGTTGTTCTAAGAAATTGGAAGAAGCAAACCTGACTTTGAAAGACAGGAAATAGATTATGCAGAAAAACCCTCCAAATTGAGAATGAGGGGAGACGGGAAGGTGAAAGGATTTGACAGGAATCGAGGGTTTAGAGTCCGCCATGGGCGGAAATGGAATGGGGGATGGTAATCCAAGACTGCAAGAGAGAGGGAGAAATTTGGGGAGAGAAATATTTACGGGTGTCAACGGTTAGTTAGAGGTCGCTACCTTTCTTTTTTGTTTTGAGTTGTTTCTGCCTCTAGGCTACGAGAGAAGGATCAATTATGTAAATGCTAAATAGTATAGGCAAATTTGACATCGATTCAGCATAGAACATATTCATGGTTTATTAGCATAGAAATAATTTAATTTAATTGATGAGATGCATTTTTGGGTGAAGATGAGAAGTTTTATAAAAATTCTAATGTTAAATATGTTTAATGTAGAGCGGTGCAAAAATTGGTTGCATCTCAGTAGGTAACAATGATGCAGCCAAAAAACAAAATCATACAATGTAAACCCAAAATTAACAATATTTTTGTTAGCAAAAAAATTCGAATGTTACAATATTTTTCCTTTTGCATAGTAATTTCTATTTATCTGTTCCTATATTATCGAATTAGATCGTATTGTACTACCCTCTATTTTCACTTTCAGCTCGGTAATCGAGATAACACAATAATATATAATATCTTGTATGTAAAATATAGAGGTGAAAGAGATTGGTTTCCAAAGACAGAATCAATGAATCATACAAGTATATTTGAGAAGAAAAGGTATGAATTTTTATTTTGGGCTTCAATGCAGCTGAAAGTTTTCAATATAGAAATTAAGAGTGGCATGGTCCCATGACAAGAGGGAGCTAGAATTTGAAGTTAGGGTGGGTAGGGCTGCAAATGAGTGAAGTCGCTCACGAGCAACTTGACATTCGAATTTGAAAAGATTCGTTCGACTAACCATTTAAATACTATATTTATTACAAACAAAAAGCTTATATCACCCTTATAAAAAAAACAAAGAAATCTAAGCCTGCAGACTAACCATTTAGCATTTGTTTCAAACTTTTCTATGTGCAATTTAAAGGGACTTTTAATGAAACAAGCTGACTTCGTTCCTGGTTGACAAACAATCGAACCAATTCGAAATCAACACAATCCATCTCTCTGCTGCTTCTATCAATCCTCGAACCGCAATGGCAAGTACAGCATCGCGATAGCTCGCAACCAGCAAAAACAATCCATCTCAATGGGATACTACATCTTTCATTTTTCAGTATCAGTGAGGATACATTCATCAAATGCCAGTGCCGTTGGATCAAGAAATTCAGCAACTGTACAAAGGCAGAGCCATGGAAACGAAAAGCAAGGCTAGGGACATCATCAGACATCAACAATAGGATCTCTTTTCATTTGCCTCCAAATTTCACCTCTATGAAAAATTAGAAAGAACAAAGAAAAAAAAAGGATAATTTACTTACACAACTTGTTCCCCCTTTTTTCCTGCCCCTATTTCCAGAGATATGTTCTTCACCATTGGTACATATCCCTAACCCTAAAAATGATTTTTTTTTTCTTTTTTCGAATGAACAAACGCTCCCCGAAACCTGCAGCAGCATTTCAATCTATCTACCAAGCAACTCTTCTCAAACCTTTTTTCTTACCCCCTCTCCTTCTCTACTACCATACCTAGGAGTGTTGTATTATTTCGGCTAAAGCTGCTATCTCAGGCATCAAGGCTAAAGAAGGAGAAGAAGAAACAGAGAACCCTGGAGAAGGCTAAAAAGTAAAGAGGGAGGAAAAGTGAAAAAATCTGTACAAAAGGAAAATCCAGGCCCAAAATTCCAGCAACACCCCTCACCAGTCACGTCCAGGATGGATCATCAGTGCCACATCGAGCCGGGTTCACGAAACCACCAAGGGAGTAGCCAAATGCGTACCTCGTGCAAGACCACCACCACCATTGTCCCCCTCTCTAACCAGGGCTATATGCAAAAACCAAATGCAGAGTTCACACTCCACAGGCAACCCTCTAGCTGCCAAAGTTCCCAAAGAAAGAATTCCAAACCTCGTATATCATAGGTCGTCATCGTCTGCATCCTCTGAGGAAGCTGCCTTAATAGCTTCGGCTGTCATCAGGGCAATAACAGCCTTGTGGATAGCTAAATCAGCCCTGCAGAGTAGTCTCTGAGCTTTCTCTCTTTTGAACTTGGCCACCTTGAGAGCATGTTGAGCTGCACTAGATGCATCACGAGTTCGCAATTCTTCAAGATCCGAGCCTTCCAATTGGTCAGGCATGTGCTGAAGAGACCAGTCTAGATGGGGATCAGGTTGTCGTTCGTGCGACCAGTGATGAAAGCTGGTATTCCTTTTCATAAACATGCGCTGATTGAATGAAGGTACCATCTGAGGTCCCATAGGGGATAGAGTTGAAGTCCCCACCACTTTGTTCGATTTGCTTCTCTGAAATTTCTTCTGCAAGTGGTGGTATCTATGAGGATTGGGGTAAAAGTAGCCCGAGCTGCCTGCATCTGCTTCCCTTGGTGAGAAAAAACTTGGTGATCTCTGAGGTAATGGAGAATCGTCCATGGAGTCGTAATTGTGTCCTAAATGTGAAACCCTCTCGTCGCCAGATGCAAAGCCGTTCATTCGTCTGCCTGCTACAACAAAACCATTAATACAGGTCAAGGACAAGACAAGGACTTAGATATGTGTGGAAATAACAAACTCATCCACTTAAAACATATCTAACCCAAACCCATTGACTCAAAATCAATTAGGTTGGTGGGTGAACGGGTAGGATTCGTCTGCAAAATTATTAAAGACCTAAAGTTTTGGTGCTTTGCATTTTAGTTACCAAGCTTTTCGTATACTAAATGAAGTTCTGCACCTAAATTTATAATAAGTGTAAGGGATTTGAGAATTGCATAGAAGTACATAAACTTCAGAATTTTACAACCTGGGCCAGGAATTAAATACAACTTTCGCTATCCCATCTCAGGGCTGATAAAGGTAAATTAAGTATCCCATCCTTCTGCTACCAAAAAACTAATCCAGCTCTGCCATTTTGAAACTTTCGTACTCAAAGTTATAAAACTTTACCCAGAAGAAGCATTGGACTTTAGCAAAATGATGGAAATACCCACCAAACCACATCAAATTTTCAAGTGAATGTCATTGATCCCAATGAAATACGAAACAACACCTTTGCCACCTCTAATATACAGCAGAAGAATAAAAAAGTGAAAAGCTTACCGTAAGCATGAAAACCGTCGTGATAGACGGAAAAGGTATTGCTTTGCCCAGAAACTGAGAATTTCTTGTGTGACCTATGTTTTGACCCTCGGTTGGGTAGATCCAAACCTCGTGGTTTCAGGCAAAATGCAAACATTGGTGGCTTCTCGCATTGACCAACCTTCTTAGAGCAACCATTTGAAGGGACATTTTTTGCCTTCGCTTGCTCCCACTCTTTCACTTCTTGTTGATATCTTTCCCAACGTGGTGGCTGAACAAAACCCGACATTTTCCATTTAATGTTAGGCAACAATGCCATTTATGTTGTATATCTAAGTCTTAGATAAAGAAACGTGAATCTGCATGAAGTTGCGTGATCTTAGAAATATCGCAGGACAACTCTGAGAAGAATGTGGTCCTTATGTTCTATTAAGAACATACATAGCAGTAATGGAACAAAATATAACAGACACTTCAGCGCGCACGTAAAATGAGAGCAGATGCTTCTACTAGATCACAGTAAACGCGTCAGCAAGTGTATAAGATAAGAGGAGCTGCCCCCAACAAAATTTGATTCCACTCAAAGAAAGATTTTTAAGACAAACAAGAAGAAATAGAGACCGTATAGAAAGCCAGAGAGTATGTATTGGTGATGTTAAATCTGAAAAGAATAGTGGGGTCTATTCCAGAAACATACAAAGGCAACCACCGTACCACACAAGATAAACTGAGACCAAAATGAAGGGAAATAGACAAGGAAATGTTCAACAGAACCATTTGAAGCATATATGCAAGGACAAGTTGCTCATTCATAAGAGAGAACCTGATGAATCACGTTATGCAAAATCAAAACACTAGTTCAACTGAGGAAACTAATATTGACCTCAGGGATGTAACTGACAGCCCACTAGCCTCATACACGCAACTGGAACATTAATTCATCATTTGGATTTTGCCTAGATCATTCACCTAATTTAAACAGCAACCCTAGGAACATCAGAACCCCGCAACATCAATTTCCTAGTCACGACCCAAGAAATAACCGAAACAAAAGACATGCAAGACAGCATTCATTTTGTATCATCAAGCACCACCAAACTATATCATTGGCATCTCAAGGAAGAAAGCAAGCAGAAAATATTCAGCAGCTACCTCAAGGTGCCGAATCAGTGGCATTCCCTTCCTACTTCTCTTCTGGTGCCAATACTGAAAAACCATCCTGATTACTTCAATAGACGCTACACCACCCATTAGATCATTTACTTCTTCAGCACTAAAATGGACACATTGCCGAGAATATGCAGCTTTCTCACATGTGTCCATGATTTTCTCAACAATATCTTCGGAAATCTCCATGGAACTGTCATTTTGAACTGCTAGGGCACTACACGTTTCTGACATCCAACGCTCATCATCACTATCAATGTCATACAGCACTCTGGATGGATTCAAAGCCATCTCAACATCAGTTTCCTCCTGACAAAAGTACTTCGAGGTTCTCAGAAATGGTGCTTCTGCTACATGACTCTCATTTTCCTCTATCAATCGAACACCAGGAATTGGAATATTTTTCACCAATGCCGCACGTACATTCCGATCATAACACTCTTCGTGCATCTCTTTGAAAAGAGCCCACTGGCTCCTGTCAGGAAACTCCAATATCCATTCTTTCCCTCCTTTCCACATCATAGCATGTGTAAACCGGTTTGTCGAACCAAGCTGCAGGAATTGATGTGGCTTGTATGAATACTTTGTGGTGCCGGAGAGTTTCACAGCAAGCCTCCACTCACTGTGTTCAAAAAGTTCCAGCACAACCTGTACACCACTCTCTCTCCAACCTTTATCACCAACAGTTAGCAAAAGGTTTACATCGCAAGACAACGAATCTAGGTTCTTTTCAGGGGCCCTCGAAGTATCAGAAGACCTCCTCTCGTTTGAAGTCCTAATTCGCTTATGTGGATGCATTTTGTGCTGATGACCTTTACCTCTGGAGCTAAGATCAAAACCGCCCGAAGGAAAAGCATAATTCACCTGTGTACGTGGCTTCTTTGGTCCATTACCAAAGTTACTCTGAAGAAAATCGGACTTTCCTTCTGACCATCCATGCGCAAAGCCTCCAAAAGAAGCTGAACTGCTTCTATTTCGATGCCATGTACTTCTACGTGCGGTAGGGTTTGGGCTGGGAATAACACCACTGTTCAAATTCCATGACAAATCGCCACAAGATTGTTGCACATGTGAAACACCATCAACATCTTTATCAAATTTATCAGAAGGGATTTCAACTGTGATTCCATTATGAAGAGAAGGTGAAGGAGATTCTGCATGGAACTTGGCTTCATCTCCAGCAGATGACGGGCGCAAGATTTTCTGTTGTGCAGAATCCAAAGGCTGAGACGGTAGCTCGTAGTCTGCATCATTCCCCGTGTTCACAGTCTCCTCAACGACAGAAGAAGATCCAAGAACATTTGTACCACTGTTGGACTCCAAAAGGGAATTCATTGCATCCCTAGAATGAGATATAGAGACTTCATCAGAACCCATGTCCCTTGACACAGCCTTGAGTACCTTACGAGAATTGCTTTCAGGAGTTATAATTGAGCACTCTCCCACGCAAGACTGGTCCTCCACTAGCAACCTGCCACTCATTTCAGGATCCCCCTCCGAGTAATGATCTTGAAATCCGATGCGAGTCAGAGTGTGCTCGATAAGCAGCCTACGATGAAGTCCTGGAAAAAAGGTAGGTGCAGCAGTAAAGGAGAGAGACATTGGAGGAATAAATCTTTGGTCCCTCTCAGGGTCGACATAGTGACTAGCTTTGCCGTGTCTCGGCTTTCTAGGAACACTCGTGAAACTAATCTGCTGCCTGGACCTCCTGCTGGATCCCTGTCAATGAAATAAAGAGAATGAGAAATTGGACAAACAACTTGCTTTGCAACCTATGCCAATGAAACTGCAACTCCCCATTTTATCAGCTCATGGCAAGTACCATATATCTGAAAGAACAAGGTAGAATAGAAACCAAATTTCTGATCACAGTGCAATAACAGAAAAAGAGACCGCAAACATACCTTAATTGTTCTGGTGCCGTTCAAAACAGAAGCAAGTAGCCCATTTCTACCATTTTGCAGATCCTTAATGTTGGCATAAGTACATTGCGACAGAGGCAGTTGCCGAGAAAGTAGACAATGCTTGTTTATTTTACGCTCCAGGAGTAGCCAACTAGAATTTTCAAGCTCGGAGAATTTATGAAACAGAAATGCAAGCTGTTTCCCAATATAACTAGTACACGAGAACTTGAATCTAATTGAAGTCACTGGCAACTCTAAGTGAATAGACTTCCCAGGTTCATCAGGTTTACCAAATATGTTCAGGACCACAAGAACAAATGCCACAGCTTGCTTCAAGCATCCTTCAAAAAGTAGAAACCTCAATCCCACTACATTATCTACAATAAGCATCTCCAGTTGAACCCTTGGCAACATAGTCATCAGTTGCCCATACTGAAGTAGCAATATAGCATGGGACAAAGAGATGCTCAACTTACTGAACGAGCGACTCCGGAAAGCTGGTACTGGGCAACGCAACTTAAATGTGAAATTTCTTGACAGTATAATTGCGAAATTCAATTTCAAAATTCCAGTACTATCAATTGACCACAGTGAATCCACAGGCACCAACTTGTCAAACGCCACTTCAGAATATAAAGGCCTAGCATAATTATCAGGAGCAAGAACACCAGTATTCATGCGATTGACTTTAGAATCATGACACGCCCAAAAACTTCTCTTACGAACCCGCCTCCTGGAGTAGACAATTGGAGGCTTTCTCTCGTTGTTACACAAAGGACTCCCTGTGGCACATAACTCACTCCTAGACGTGGCTGGTTCATCTGGAAGAGTAGAACTAAAGGACTTTCTGGCTGTTCCGGCACTCAGAGACTCTCCGTCCTTGCAGTCACAACCAACTGTAGTATCCCTAGTCAAAGATTCCCCACAACTGGGGTGTTCACAGGACTTGTTCTCCTTCTCTGTAGCACAAACTGGAGAAGATTTCACTCTTCGAGATGAACGAGCCAACAACGAGATGATGGGCTCTGAATCTATATGATTACCAACCAAGCTATCAACTTCCGCTCTCATTTTCCTCTTGCTATCTTTACTGTGATTCGACTTACTTTCACTTACAATGGTGTGTTTCCTCCTTGACAAGGATCTTGTTCGGTGGTTTCTGCCTGGTGCTTCACTAGGGAACAGTAAGAGTTTGAACCTCTCATTCTGAAGATTGATCCACTCCTCGTCACGGTCATCATACTTGACATGATGAAGCTTTCTCTCATTGTCATAATCACTAACAAGGCCATAATACCAACTTTCGTCCAATGGCCAAAATACTTTGATTCTCCTATTTAATACCCAGTGTGCATCCAATTCACCAGAAATAATATCATAAAAATGTCGTCTCTTCCTAACACCACTCTTCTCTTTGAACTGCTTTCTCGGTCGCAAAACTCTAACAGCACCATCACCAGAAGCAGAATCTGAAGCAGAGGCATAGCTTCCTCCCCGAGCTACAAATTCTTTACTAGAGGACAATGGATGATTCAAGCCATTGGTAGGCGGTAGAGATGAGACTTTCTTCTTCGACAAGTATCCAGTAAAGCTAGGATCAAATCGTGACGATAGCATTCTTGCAGCATTCTCTTCTAGATTATCTTCTTCATCCTCCCGCACAACCTTATCAACAATCTTGACAGATTTTTCACCTGAAGGCTCAGCCTCCTTTGATGGACTTGTCACATCTGATACCTTGTTCTTCCTTTTTCTGCTTCGCTTCCTAAGAGAGCCATTTGAAGGGTGATCATCAGCATTTTCAGCTGAATGGCCAGTAAGGGAAATCTTGGGGAAGACTCGCCATTTTTCTCAATTGAGATCATATCCTGGCCGTCCTCTTCCTTCACATCTCTACCTGAATTGGATTCACCATTTATATTTTCCTTCAAGTCATCTGATCTTTTCTTCCTTTTAAGCTTAGAAGCCTTGAAATGTTTGCCGTTATTTACAGGATTCACATGATCTTGATCAGCTGCCCCCCTGCCAACCTCATCAACATCACCCATTTTGCCATTCTTCTCTTCCAGCTTCAACACTCCACCGCCATTCTCAACTTTCCGTCGCCTAACTATACCTCGCTTCCGCCTCGGGACTTTAACAACATCATCTTCCAAAGCTAATGAAATCACATTGAGCCCACCACAGTCATTCGACTTCTGACTCAAGCACAGCTTCGAGTCTCTCGAATCGAGTGAAACCGAAGTCAAGCTGCCATTGTACACTTCTTCCAGACTCTTGCTGCCATTGCCAGTAACAGTCTTCAATCTATTAATAGACACTGCCTTCCTACCCTTCTTCCTCTTATTACTTCTCTTCACACTGCCATCATCATCATCTAGACCATTTTTCCGCTTCAAATTCTTACCTGGGGCCTCTTTTGAACTCTCTGTTTCGTATAGACTCTTAAGATCAAGAGATCTCGTCTTTTTAGGAATTTCCTCTCCATTGCTATCTCCTGCTCTATGTTCCATCCACTAAACCACAATCCAATCAACGAAGATGAAAACCGCAAATGTCTTAAATTCCATAGCACATTCTCAGATCTGCAAAACAACCAAAATGCAAAAAAAGAAGAAAAAAACAAAAGTCGCCATGAATATTCCACCTAAAACTCCGAACCACCCATGCCCAAATAAAGGAAGAAAAAAACGCACTGAATTCAAACGATCACAGTCGGTCACTTAACAACATCATCGTTTCTTCAGACCCATGAAACAATTAGATGGGGAAATCACACCACCACCTACCGGGATCCAAGCAGCAAGAAGAATTGGATTATGTTCTGCAAACCGCCAAGATCACGCACGTTGATTGGCCACCAGCCTTCCGAATCTGGAAATTTTGAATCGTAGAACTACCGCAGTGGCGGGTTTTATAGTCAATTTCTTGATTAATTTTGAAAAAATTAATTTTGCCCTGTTTTGGGCGTGAGAGACGGGAAGTAGAAGAGCTAGGGTTTCCTTTCGGTTTCAGGGAGAAGGGGGGAAAAGGGGTTTAGACTTTACTCTTTAGATCGCCAAAAAGAAAAATTAAAAATGAATAAACCATAAACGAAAAAGGAAAATTTATTATATGCATGAGTTGGATGTAGTCGCGAGAAGTTCTAATGGAAACTATATGCGCCGTCTTCCGACACGTGGTAGACATTCTACCGTCTGATCTGAAACTTCAGGAGTGTTTCTGTATGGCTGATCATAGGCCGTACGATGGAAAGTTAGAGAAAAATAGGTACGGAGTTCACGATGTGAAGATCAACGGCAGGATTCAGCAGGCCTGACACGTGGACGGCACAGATTCGAAGGTGATTTCATATATGTGTGTTAGTTGAGCAAGGCTAAAAGCAAGTATATTTTCCGACTTCCAGCCAGCGAGAGAAATTTTCGAAATTGGGAATTTCATATTTCCGTTCATGTAATTAATCAAATGACACTTTTCTAAAAAAAAAAAATAATAATAGTAATATTCAAATGACACCCAAAACTTTTTGGCCATTACTTAAAAGTTAAAACCAGTTTATGAGATATTGGTCGAATTACTTAAAGTTATCAACTTATGGAACGAAAGAGGATATTTTTCGGAGCATTATATATCCAATTAATAGAATGTATTAATATATTTTGTCAATATATACATCCAAATGTAGACAACAAAATTCATTAAATATGGTACCAAATTGTAGACAGAATAGTACAACACATCTTATTTTTTTAAGTCAATATATACATCCAAATGAAGAAGAAGAAAATTAATATCCGACTCAAAAAATTTATTTATGGATTTTAAACATAAAATTATCTATATAATATTTGTATTTTAAATTATATTTTATTTTTAAAAAATAATATATGTATTCTCCTTCTGTCTCAACCCCTAAATTTTTTCCCAAATGGCATACTAGTACTCTACCCCACCGGCTTTCCGTTTCTCGTCATTTTCCTTTTTTTAGCCATCGAGAGTCAATTCTTCATTTCCTTCTATAGAAAGGGTATCGTCTACAAAATTCAAAGATTCTAATACAAAAAAAATATTGTACCAATCCAAACAATCTCTAAATCAGTAACAATCTCAATAATCTCATCGAATCTATCTCTTCTAATCTAGTCATGAACTCTTAATCTGGTTGAGTTCACATCACATATAAAGAGTTTGGATTCTATAGATTCTTAGTTGATCGCTGGTGATTGGCAGATAGTTCGTCCATGAAATTGAGTCCTACAAAGAGCTTGTATTATCGTCAATTATTATCCTTATTCTCACGTGTCATAAGTATGTCTTTGTGGTGAAACTGTCATTTGGTTATGTGATAAACATTTTAATTTTTGTAATAAATTGATTCGATCAGAGATTTTGACGGTAATATCTTGGAGTCTCTGTGGATACTTAAATAGAAGTAGTTTCTCTATGATACCACAGTAGTATTCATATAATTTGGTTTGGTTAGGTTAATCTGGATAATTGTTTTGGTTTTATTAAAATTTTAGCTAGTTCTGGGATTTCGAACTATGTTAACCAATCAAACCAATTAATCATTTAAGCAATTAGTTATATATCTAATATATTATATATCATAGTGAATATTTTTCATAACCACTCAAAGTCAAATAATAAAACTTGTTATTGTACGTATCTATATTATATGTGTTCTTGTTAATATTTTTCACAACAACATATGAACACCTAATTTAGATAAAGTCCATGCATTATGGTGGATCGAAACTTGAAAGATAAGAGCTTTAATATAATGTAATAATTGCATGTAATGTTACACATATATATACTCAATTCACACATATATACTCAATTCATTAATCTCGTATCTTTGGCATATATTTTTATTAGGTGGCTACTTCTAATGACGGTAAGACAATGGTATTAATTGCATGTAATGTTAAGGGTTAACTATGTGTTGATTGTTATATTGTGTTCATCGTATAAATTACAAATCGGTGCATTAGAAGGATATTTTCTCATGTGTTGATAATGTTATATACGGGTTAACCCGGTTATACAATTAACCAAACCGATTAAATTTGGTTTGGTTATGATTGTATTCCAATGTTAATAAAATTTAGGCTTAATTGGTTGATAGTTACCATAGTAATCATGTAACACCTTAGACGAATCTCATATCGACAAAGTACATGAGAGATACATGGTTCATCGGTAAAAAACGTCTTTTAACACACATTTTAATGCCCAAGATTGAGCCATTGAAGGGGGGGGGGGGGGGGGGGGGGTTGGGCATGCTAGATGGAGGCTAGTATATGCTCCCCGGATCCCAAGTGTGCTATATGTAGATCTGATGGTTGTTCCTTTGAAATATCTAGCCAGTAACATATCCTTTGGTACAAAAGTAGAGGTCCATCTTGGAAAATGCTTAAGGGGTTGATTGTATTAAAGATCTGAATGAGAGTTTTGAGCACAATCTCTAAATATGTAGGATTTTAATCAAATCACTCGTTTGGAAGTAATATAAACAATGAGAGAGCTTAAGACGAAGGAATTTTAAAAACCCTCATACGCAGGTTTTCAAAATAGCTCATCACCATTAGCTATTTCGAAATCACTCATTTTTTTGTTCTCTTCCAAAACTAACCCCTCTCTTCCTTCAGAATCGTCCTCCCTCCATCTCGTTGCCAACATACTTCGATTCAATAAGCACATTCCGACACCATTCAACACCCATTCTAAGTTCCACTTTTGTTTGTCAAAGTTTCGTTATCATTTGATTGTCTGATTGCTTTGAGTGTTTCTGTGTCTTATTTGACGATTGTCCAAATCGTGATTTTGTATAAAGCCAGAAACTAACATAAAATGTTAGTCGTAAGATCGAATTGTATTGTGCTAAAAGCTGAGAGTGAAAAGAGCAGAGTAGAGCTTTGCGTATGAGTCAAGTATTATGAAAGGTTAACAATATATAGGATTATAGCGAAAAATGCTTGTTAATGTTATAATAACTTCCTAAACAAGCACACTTCTGGTGAGTCGAGGGCTCTACTCAAGACTAACAACATCATGATCTCAAATAAACTATGGGTCAACTACATATACCAAATTCCCAATGAGGGAGTAGCCGAACTGTAAAACAATTGATAATCTCAAGATCCTAGTTATATTGATCCCCATTCAAACTTTTGTGGTACCATAATATTCATAGCCGGCGGCAAGAGATATTGACGATCTTATCGATCTTTTGTCCATAGTCGACCTCACCACCTTCACTCATTCACCCTCTTGTTATTGTAATCGACAACGATGCTCAATTGAGTAGCGAGCACCACATATGTAGCAAAATTCGGCTCGACACCTACATCATTGAAAAAATTAAAAACAAAACATATAATAAAAAAGTTCAATTGACCTCCACAACAATCAGCAATAATCAAAATTAATCATGGTGTGCGTGACACACACAACAACAATAAGTACTCACGAGAGACGGTAGAGTAATTGAGCAAGCAATGCAGTAATTACCTGCATATAATATGGCTGCAGCCACTCTGTTTCGAAACGTACATCCTGCAGCCGGGGCATCTCTTCCACCGGTTCGCCTTAGCAAGTTCCACGACCATCTTGTCTTCTCTTTTAGCCTTTGACCTCTGGTACTTTCCGCAGTCCATCCTCGAGTGCCAGGGGACCCTGCACCTGACGCAGAACGCCCTCCTGCACCAGGGACAATTCGCTTTCCAATCCTTACGCCACAACCGGCGGAAGAACAACCAGCGGCCAGGGCGGCAGCCGCCGCCCCCGTCGTTGATCAGCAAAGCGGAGCAATCCGGGTAAGGACAGTACAGCTTGTGGGCATCATCGATGGCGGACTCGGCCAACGAAGCCTCCCACCTGTCGAGCAGCGATTGGGGGAGGATTCGGCGGCAGTGGTCCGGGTCGAGGAGACCGTTGCAGCCGGGCGACGGGCAGAGGATCCGGTTCTTGTTGTCGGAGAGTTTGGTGTCGATGTATTTCGCGGTGCAAGGAGTGCAGTACACGTGGTCGCAGCCCTTTGGGTTGAAGGGATCGTGCGTCGACGTTTCGAAGCAGATATTGCACACGAAGAATGGCCACTTCGCCGGCTTGGGACTTGAACAAGAGTTCGGTTCGGTTCGCGGCCACCAGCGTGTTCTGCTTCCGATGATCATCCTCCTCAAGGGCTGTCGATCCTTTCCTTGCCACAATCACTATCCCATTACCGTAGATAGGTAAATCTTAAACCCTAAACCTTATTTTGTCTTGGGATAAAGTCGAGGTGCTTTCTCCTTCTTCTAGTCGATATTGGCTCACTCATCGCCTTCCCCGAAAAGAATAACTAAATAATATGATTAAATAATCAAATCCTGATTAATTTAGTAAAAAGGAAATTGTACAATTGAACGAGTTTACTATGATCTACAAAATACGGTTCTTTTTTCGTAGCATTCAAAATCACTCATATGACCCTGGTGCCATTATGCATCACATTTGTTTTTAACTCAAATTGTGAATTTTTTTGTATATTGGGATAATTTCATTGTGATCAATTGTGATCTACAAGTTTCGCGGAGAAAATTCATGACTAGATATACCGTCTTATACGATCTTGGTATATGGTGGTAGATGGTGATGCAGAATATGCATACTATTATAGATAGTCATTCTACATTGGGGTGTATGTAAGAGAGTGGTATAAAATCCATATATAACAACTTTTCTCCTAACAACTCAAGTTATTGAGACCAACTGGTTTATGACATGGTATCAGAGCTAGTTTGGCCAAGTGGTCGTGTGTATGAATTTTCACGACCCCCAATATTAATAGTAAATTAAATCACAAGGTATGGTAGGCATGTGCAAACTTTAAGCCCGTGAGTTAACTTTCATTTGAAGGGGTGTATAAGACAGTGGTATGAGATTCATAATAACTTTCTCCCAACAACTTGAGTTATTGAAATCATTGGTGTATGACAATATATTCATACTGCCATGATATATTCTTATATACTATCGAACATTGCAATCATGGTATAGACTAATAATATAGGCTAAATCTTTTTATTTCTAAATATATAAATAACACAATTAATCTGATTTTTCAATGTAAAAAAATTCAACTCCAAACTAAAGCGAAAGATATATTTTCCATTAAATTTTAATTATAAAAATTTATATATGATTAATAGCCGACCTGTTTAGTGACTAGATCCGTTGCCCGAATCTGCCAATAGTTGGAGCCGAAGGGGTTGGCTGGCCAAGAGAGTCCAGCAGCCCAAGATCTAAACTTACAGTTTTCCGTCTGATCAGTTCCAAGTTCGGGTGGGATTCCAAGAAACAACCTGGATGGCGGACCGAATTGCGAATTCTTATTCTGACAGGGTTCGGTTTGGGTTTTCCACATGCATGCTCAAACATAACTTCAAACAACTCATCAAAGGAAGCACGATTGGATTGGATGGACACTTGTGGTGATTCAAATATGATATTCTCATACATACAAATTAAATGCAGCCGGAAAACCAGATGTAACAAAGGAAACTCAGCTTTTAACAAATTGTGGTAAGAACATGTGAAATGAAAGAAGAGGTCTTCACCAGAATCTCCAAGGGTCTTTGTACGGGGCTACATATTCATCCGTGGAAGGCAGAAGGCGAAATGACGATACAGTTCTCTCCAGGAAAGGTCCCATCTGCAGTAGCATTGGTCTAACCCATCAACCAACCAAGAACAAGAAAACACCAAGAGGGATAATAAGGAAAGGCGTGGCATCATGAGATATGGATCGAGAGAGACAGACCTCGTCCCACTGTATATTGAGAGTCGAAGCACTCAGCGAGTACAAGTAACCGTCTCGTTCAAATGTTGAGGCAACATAGTGCCTGTAGAGGTTTGGTTCCTGAACCTGCAGCATTTTCCCATTATTTGACAAGCATTTGCATCATTCAAGTCCGAAGGGTATTTGTGCTTCATTCAAAGGAAAAGACTTCAAATGGTCCTTACATTCTTGGTAGGCGACTTGCGAACCAGATACTCATAAACCCAGTAAGGCTGTCCAATGTCCATCAATCTGTGATAAGTGGAATAGGGTTGCTATGCTTCAGACATGGATGACTTCATCAGATATTATAATGATAAGAATGAATTGGTTTGGAGCTCACTTCAATTGTGTGTGCATCAAGAAGAGAGCTCTCAGCCAGTCGCTGTGTGGATGCGACTCGCTTCCATGAACATCAGCACTAAATGCCATGAACATCAGTACCAAAATGTGATTAACAAATTATCCTAAGCCACATTGCAAGACTTAACAACCACTCTTCCGTATTCATAATATTTTCACATTGTGGCTAAATGAAAGAGTTGCCATATGCCAAGTTGCTGGTGATGTGAATGAAGAATTCAATATCACTTCATTTCATCTCATAATGTGGAGAATAAAAGAGACAGGTTATACCAGTGCAGACTTGTCGGACAAAGCCGAGTCAGCAACATCTTTGGCGTTCCAGATGCTCTTGTCCTTGGATTTTATGAACTCAGACATTTGGGGTGCCTATCTGAATCCAACAATGGAATCATAATCCTCGGATAGAGGGCGAGTAAAGAAAACAATTGCAGCATCTATGAAGGACATCAGTATGAATAATAATGTGGGACGTAACTGAAACAGAAATCACGAGGTTGTCAAAGATATCAACACGCTCAGACACAATCCTAAGCCGTGCATCAGCTTGTGTCAATCCAGAAACAGTCAACAAAACCTCAGTTGGGCTTATATTCATGTGCATTTGGAGTTTCCTTCCCCCTAGCAAATCTCAGAACTTTGGAAAAAAAGCCAAAAGGGAGTGAACATACGAGATAATGGCGCGGCTGATGAGTATCGCTCCGGCTTTCTTGATTCCACCTCTTAAAAAATTTGACAGGCATTAGAGCGTTTCAACTTTCATAACACAATAACATGTTCATCCCAAAAATCAAGAAAGTGAAACAGAGGGTTTCCAGGGAAAGTTCAATTCAATAGGAACACGTACCATTTGAAGATGAACTTCTTGGATGGCAATTCCATTGGATATAAGTAACTGTAAGCATTAATCTCATCAACCATTGGACCCATTTTCAGACCATCTTCGGCCAGACACTCTTCAGGAGACAGACATTTGGTGCAGGATGATTCATTGAATTCGATACATAACAACAATTACAGAGAAATATCATAGAACTTAATGATCACTCGAGCCCCACCTGAAATTGGAGCCACTGAAACCAGAGAAAGAACAGAGTCCAAACAGCATCAAATCCCTTCTCAAAACTCCGTTTCCCGAACTGGGTCTTGAAGAAGAAGACAAGGAAGAAAAAGAAGCACCACAAGAGCTACAGACTACGGAAACCTTCTCAGCTTTTAACTTGTACTTCTTCTGGTTTAGCAAGATTCCGCTCTCGTTCCTGCCACCCAATCCAAATCAACCCCCAACGAGAGAGATTAAAAAATCCATCTTGATAACAGAACGACGAAGCGAAAGAGAAAAGAGATCCACCTGAATAGAAGGTGCTGCCGCCCATGGGTGGAAGCGAACAGAGAAGGCGAGCAGAGAAGCGCCATAGCTGTTGCTTCTCGGGCTTGTTTCACTTCAGTGCTTCCACTGCTTCACCTCATGTGCTCATCCACCGTCTCGTATTTCACTTCTTTGGGATAGCCATTGGACGGCATCGCATCGTCGTATGTATAATTCAGTCCATATACTAATGATCGTTGCCATTTCAACCCTAAGATATTTTTGTTTATCATTTCCATCCAACAGATAAGGACCGTCTTCTGGCGGTTAGCTGGTTACACGTAAATCCCCGTCATCTGACGGACCCAGGAAAGGCGAGCTAGCTAGTAAACGGTCGTGGACGGTCACGGTCGTGTCTTTGAGAAGCCTTTCTTTTCAATTTCGCTCTCAATCATTTCTTCTCCTTTAAATACTTGTTTGCTCTCTGTTCGTCTCGAGAAGAAGCCGAAGCCAAACAGCTCCAAAAGCCAAGCTCTCACCGGCGCTCCAATCGATCTGAACGACGAACTCTTGGCAGGGAGGGAAAATAATTCCGCTTCCAGTTTCATTTCCCGGCGATCTTTCCACATTCTCGCACTTCCGCTGTCGAGGTACATCTGCGAGCAATAACCGTCGTTGTTCTTAGCTATGATGCGTTGTTATTCGTTACGTTCTAAACCGATGTTTACTTTGTTGGAAGGGCGTGCTCCGCGCTTCGATCTCTGTTGTTTGGACTCGGAATCCAGTCTGATCTTGTTTTGAATTTCCCGCGGCGGATACGTAGTATAGAGTAGGGTTACGAGTATGAGAAATGAATCGTAAGAGGCGATCTCTCGCTTGTTTATTTGTACGGTCTATGGTTTTATTCATGTATAGTTACAGTTTATGATTGATGCGTGTGGTTTGTAGTTTATTTTTGTTCGCTTTGGTTAAGTTTCTCTGAAGGTTGAAGAAATTTGTTATGAAGACTGCTTTCTTCAACTGCTAGTCTTTGTATGATTGCAGTTGAGATTGTTTTGGCTATCTTTGTAGTTTCAGCAGTTTTTAGTGGCTGAATGATTGACGAGGATGCGTAAGAAGTGTTTATGTAGCTAGATTCCTGCCATTGCTTTAAGGCTCGGTGACAATGGCGGATTGGTTTGACTATGTAGTTGTAGTGGTTAAATCTTACTTGAGAACTCCCTGCTGATATTTGTCGACCATTTTGACCCGTCATTTTCTTGTGAAAGGATACGGTATGCTTAAGAATTAGTCAGGGAATAGCCTGGCTGTAGGATAGTGGATAAGCATTGGTATAATCAAAGTAGAAGATGATTTTGTTGGTCTTGAATTGTCCTTTGTTTGCCTAGTACTAGGAACCTTTCCTTTTGAACTTCTGTAAATTATGAATATCCTAGCAGAAATCCTGTCACATTTGCTCATGATGTTTAAATTCATTTTTTCGTGTTGTTTGTTATGGGTACTCAGTGATTCATATTCTCAATTGAAGCAATGAAGCCAGGAAATTCTAGTTTGAACCCATATGCAGCCTCGTATATACCTCTTTTTAGGAGGGAGGTAGTTGAACATACTCAGTCTCCAGGAATGGTTGCAAAAGCTCCACAGAGTGGCAATCGAAATGTGTGGTATGGACCTGGTTATGCCGCTGAGAACAGGCAGCATGGGGTAGCTTCTCCAATTACTTCAGCCTCGACAGAGAGCCACTATGGGCATGGAGTCTATGGTTCATCATCACAACTTCATGATGGAAGAACCAATAAGCAAATTATGGATGAAGAGTCTGACTTTGAGTTGGAATTTCTACAGATGACGTTTCCTGGTGTATCTTCCGAATCACTTATGGATGTGTATGCAGCTAATAATGGAGACTTGGAAAATACTGTTGACATGCTTAACCAGCTTGAGGTAAGTGAAGAGTAACCTTTGAATGGTTTCTTCTCCTTAATGGTTGTTCCACTGTGGGATGCTCTTGGCTTCAGTGCTGACTGTCCTGTAAATGTAAAATAGTAGTTATCTCATCTGGCATGGTTGATGCTTCCTCTGGCAGTCTGGCTAGATTGTATTTGATGTCTAAAGCATTTCTTAATCTAGAGATCTGAATTAGCTTTCTTTTATTGCTCAATGTCTGACTATGCCACTTATATGTTGCTCTATATACCTTTTTACTGTTTTGCTCTTTGTTTAATTGTTCTTTCTTATATTTGCTCACTCTTTTTTCTCAATTTCCTTTGTATGAGTAGTTTGTGTATTTATTCATCTCTCTTCACTTATTGTAATTGTTTAGCTCTACCAAGGCTGCTAGTGCTACCCATCCAATGAAGTGCTTTTCTTGCTTCTTATTTTAATTTATAACTTTGTATATTTTCCGAAGGCTTTAAGGCTGTAATTTAGGTTGTGTTATGCAGTGAATGTGAAGAGGAAAGGTTTCTTCTCTTTAGGTCAGGAAGCTAAAGGAGAAATGTTGATTTTGTGTAGGACCTACCACAACTGTTTGTATGTTTCTTCCATTGTTTTTTTCTTAATAAGTGGTAGAAAACTATGGAGCGTTTTCTTGGGTTTCTTGTTTTCTAGCTTTGGTATCTTCTCGCAAGATGCTGCCAGGCGCTTCTACTGGACTTAAAACTGATCCCTTGCTCAGACACTTTTCCCTTCCATTCCTGGTGTACTTTATTTATTGTTTGCGGCTTCTTTGCCATTTGGTTAGGCTACTATTGAATCTCAGCATATCCTAAGACCTAACAAATAGACTCTTGTTGTGGCGCTTATGACGTGATATCTGTTTCTTCTTCTGCTAGTTGACAATTGCCTTACGTTTTGTTTTCCTTGTCCTCCTGCAGGTTGACATTCCTCTCCCAGATTCTCTGGATATCTGGGATGTTTCGGAGCCTGCGTCGCCAGTGAAACAGAAGAACGCCGTAGGTGAAACCAGTGCCTCTTCATCTGGTTCCTCCTCTGTCTCGGGCCCCGTAGTCTCAACAACCTGATTCATTTACTTGGGGACAAAAACAGAGCAAGTGTTGAAAGTGTTGTTCAATCTCTTTTGTTTCACCCCATTTATGTGGATAAAGGATTGGTACATAGATAGAGGAATTCTGGGTTAAAGAGGGAAAAACTACATAGAATATGTTGTGGTACAGAGTTTGCCCGGGTGGTTTTCTTTTGCTTGGATTCACAGGCATACAGGTTTCAGGTGTTGAATCTTCCTAACTGGAAGGTTGGTCATTTTGGGTTCTGCAGTTTTCAGTGTTCTTCGGGTTTGCTTCCCGATAGGGTGTAAAAACCGTCGAGGATGACAGTGGATGGTTTGGCTGTTGTAAGAGCAGTGCCGTGTTTGGATTATACATAGTAAAGTGCTGAAAGATTTCCCATGCTAGCCCACGCACTATCTGACAATAATTTCTTTTAATCGTAGGTCATCTCTCATTTGAAGAAATAAGCATGGTTATGTACGAGTAATAAGCATGGCTCGTACCAATCAGTAACCACGATTGATCCTTCTTGTAAGCATGACAAATCCTCTACATCAATGGCCTTGTTACATCAAAGACGAAGTAATCAAGTTAACGAATCCTTCTACATTAGCTAAAAAAGAATTATGCTTAATCCTTCGTACGTGTAACTAGTTTGGATGAAATCCGAACGCTAAACTATCCACTTCCACTTCCATACTCCATATGGATTATGGATTACTACTCCTATAGGGCAGAACCTGGTTATTCTAAAAGGTGAATCATGGGCCACACTGGCCTACTGTATTGTCACGCTGGCAAGGTTATCAACCCGCGGGTCAACCCACTTTGACCTTGACCCGGTGAGAAAAACGGGCCGCACGTACCCGCCGGATCGACCGTTAAAAGGTATCGGGTTGGAGGTCAAATTGTGTCATTTTTTTCCTTGATTTGCGAAATGCGCCTATTTTCCGATTATTCTTTTCGCCTAACTCAATTTTTTGGAATCCTTAGTTGAACATTTGAATATTGATGTTATATAAGTGTGTGTGAATTTTCACTATATGTTGGATCTAAGTACGACATGTTACTTTGGTGTAATGTTATATGTTATTACTCATATGTTAAATGAGATTTGAATTAATTAATCAGGATAAGTACAATATAATAATGACTTTTTCTATATTTCTGAGCTAAAATGAGTGACCCTTTAACTCTTGACCCACTAAATCGACCGGGTCCGGATCAACCCACGGGTTAGACAACCTTGCACGCCGGTGATTGAAGATTTTCGAAAAAATAAGTGGGCTAAGGATCCGCCGAGGCCCATTTTCGTCGGTCCATGAAAATGCAAACACTGCCCGCCGGCGCGTTGTCGTCTCGCAAATTCACCCACCGCCACCGTAACTTAATTCCCACCCCCAACTCTTAAACCCTTCCTTTCCAACTTCCATGAATGCCCATTGTTCTAGCTTTTGCTCCTACGCGCATGGTTCGTCGCCCAGCTCCCGCGCTCCCCGCCAACCTTCTGGGCTCAAACGTCAACCATTTCTTCTCCTCGCGGCGATGCCCTTATGCTCAGACTCTGTAATTAGGTTCTGCAGGCGTGGCCTTCGCACATACTCTTCAGTCATTTTCCCCAAACTTGCTTCTTTCTCTTCTTCCTCTTGTGCGCTGCAAAAAATCGATGGTGGTGGGGAAGTCGAGTCGACCGTCAGTTCCAGTTACGACGACTTGCAGCGTGGAATGCGAGGCCACGCTGCTTCAGGCGACCTCCGGCAAGCTCTGTGGACTTGGAATTTGATGAGGAACTTCCCCGGTAAGCCAACAGTTAATGATTTCAATGCTTTGGTGCACAGTTATTTGAAGTGTGGGAATCGTTTCTCCGATGTTTTGCTGGAAGTTTGTCTCCGAATGATGGAAAGCTCTGAGATAGCACCGAATGCCATTACTTTTAATTTGATTGTTAATGGCCTGGTGGCAGTTGGGAATTTCAGAGCTGCGTTCTTTGTTCTGGGGCAGATGTTTACCAGTGGGTTCCTACCATCGTTTACACTTTTGTCCAGGTGGTTGAAGAAATGTATTGAATCGAATAGTTTAACGGATTCCCTAGGTGTTTTTGATGTTATGTTGATGATGGACTATGTCCCTACGGAACCATCTGTCAATATGTTGATTTGTATGCTTAGCAAGAATGGAATGATAAAGGCAGCATATTACGTGTTCTCCTCCCTTCTTGCTAAAGGTTGCTTTTTTGGGGTGTACACTTTGAATCCGATTCTTTGGACGCTGTGTAAGTCTGGTAAGACATATACTGCTCTGCAGCTGTTTTACTTGATGAAGAAAACGGGTCTTGGACTAGATGTATGCTCTTATACTGCTTTGGTTTATGGCTTTTGTAAAGAAGGGTTGTGGGAAGATGCTTGGTGGTTTGTTGATGAAATGCAAGATAGTGGGTTGAAGCCTAGTCTCGTTACATACACTGTGTTGGTTAAGTTCCTTTGTGTAAATGGGAGGGTAGAAGAGGCATTGAGGTATCCGAGTTTAATGGAGACGGAAGGATGCAGTCCAGACTTGCTAGTGTATAATATAATTCTTCAAGAACTCTCTCACCTGGATAGAGTGTTTGACATTACTGTGCTCCTAGATATGATTGTATCTAAAGGATACTCTCCTGATGCTTACACCGTAGCTGTGCTAGGAGGAGGCCTTTTAAAAGCGGGAAGAGTTGGTGACTGTGTTGGATTTTTGCTGGATACCATTTCAGAGGGCTATCCTATTGATGTTGCCGTTTACAATATCTATCTCCAGTGCTTATGTAGCCAGAACAGAACAGCTGAAGCATTGTCTTTGTTAGAAAGAATGACTGGTGCAGGTTTCATTCCGAGCAATGTGTCGTATAATATCATTCTTAATGGGTTTTGTAGGGAAAACAAATTTAACAAGGCTGTGACACTCTTGAGCCAATTCTTGCCTGATGTAGTCTCTTTTAATACAATTTTGTCTTGGGCTTGCAGACAGAGGAGTTCTGAGATTGTCGAATGGATCTTGTGTCGTATGCAGAATGAAGGTATTACCCATGATGTCTTCACATCAACTTGCCTCATTCGATATTCATGCAGAGTTGGAAAGGTTTCAGAATGTTTGAAGCTTTTGGATAACATGTTGCTCAATGGCCCTAAACCAACCATAGTTACTTTTAATGTGGCACTGCATGAGCTTTGCAAGAGTGGTTCGCGTGAAATAGCTTCCCGAGTCTTTGAAAAGTTCAGCAATTCTGGATTTCTGCCCAATGCTGCCTCGTATGATATTATGTCGCGAGCTTATGCCAGGACGCATGCAACTTTTGCACCTGTTTCATTTGTAAAGGGGTATGGATGAACTGACTGAAATTGAGCTTGTTATACGTGTCACTATTTATAGTACTTTTGGCGGGACGGAAGCTATGTGTGGACAGTTTGATCACAGCTTTGGCAACTCCATAACCATTACTGGGAGTTATGTTGTGGTGATGTAAAGTGAAGTATACTCTGTTGCTGCTGGGTAACATGGTGATTGAAGCTTGTGCTAATGATGTGATTCTGAAATCCTTGATTAAGTTGGATGAAGGTCTTTACAAAGCCGTGGACACTTGAGAAATTTTACTCATTATAAGTCGAGAGAAGAAGACATATCAGAAATACACAGAGAGGAATTACTCGTTAAATCTTGCATGCGTTCAGATCATTGTACATCTTCATTTGCTGTCAATCATGCCCAGCTTTCTGTAGAGAGAAAGCTTCTGCTAAGCTCAAATAATCAAGAACTAGGTATGGACTATGGAGGTTATTCATCCTGAAGATTTCATGTCACACAAAATATCTGGTTGTTGGTTACTTTTCCTCCTGCATTGTATTGTTCACCCCTAATTGATTGCATTGTCCACATGGAAACAGTATGAAATCCTCCAACCTGCGGAAGCTTTAATCTTGTGATGAGGTCCGCCAATTGACACTAAAATGGAACCCCATGGTGTTTGGTCAGTTTTCTCGAGTAGTTATGGTATTTTACATGTAGTTTTATGGTTATGTTTGTGTCAGTAAGGCTGCTTTGTTTAGTCTATCTGACTATTAGATGCTGCAGATATTGATGAAATTGAGATTGGTTCTTTTCAGAAAGGTAACCCCTGGGAAGATTCCATCCATTGAAATGTGTGGATATGAGAGAAGAGTTGCTGATGGATTTGTCGAGCTATTCATACTTGCTGGTAAGGAGAGGAAAATAGTTTCGTGTTAAACGTTGGTAACTAGATTGGCTAGTGATCATTCTATGAGAAAGGATCTACTTTGAGTGCTGGGTTTGATAACATAGTATAGTGTGAAAGAATTATAAAATCCTTGTCTTGTTCCTGAACCTTTTCAAGTGTAATTTACTTGATGTGTATATACTTTATTTATCAAGTGAATATGATTTTGGATCCATGGATCTAGTGGTAATGGTGCTCCATACTTCAGCATTTTCCGTAGGAAGTTCTTGCTTGAACCATACAAGAAACGGAATGTGATAAGATTCTCACATCATAAAATGACAGTTGGCAGGTCACGTTCTTATTGCTGAAGCCTTGGTTGGCAAAGAGGCCAATTGCTCCCATACCTTCTCTTGACCTGGTAAACCTCTCTCTCTCTCTCTCTCTCTCTCTCTCTCTCTCTCTCTCTCTCTCTCTCTCTCTCTCTCTCTCTCTCTCTCTCGCTCACACACACACACACACACACATTATAGAGGATGCTGATGTGGAATGTAACAGGCTTTCTTGTTAGCAAAAAACTGAACAGACAGTTGGTGGCATTAAAGTACCGTAGGGTGAGATTCCATTTCGGCATTTCCAACTTCCAAGGCTGGTGTTATCATTATTATGCCTATTCTGGATTTTATATATGTGATCGATTCCTTATTTCACAGTCCAATGGGAAGAAACAAAACCCAAAAACAAAAAGCAAGATGCCAAATGGACAAATCGTTTTCTCCTTTTCTTTTGAATCTCCAAACTTGCCTACTTTTTGTAGCTACTCTTGCTCGATCATATGGGTAAAGAACTCAGACCTCTACCAACTACCAAAGATGGCTTCCCATTCCCCTTCTTGTCAATACAGAAATAAAATAACTATCCCCTACCCTCTTTAAACCTTTTTCAGATATAATAAATCCTTTCGGTTTCTCCAAAATCTTCTGGAACAGAAGGAAAACCCCCCCAATTTACCATTCCATTCTTTCTTCTTGTGGTATAAGAATAACTTTCATGATCTGGGTCTGGGAGGAAATGTCCTAAATTTTACTGCTTTTTTCTTTCGGGGTTTTGTTGAACCCAGGAGGAAAGAGTAAAACAAAGAGAAAGAAATGGGTGTAGATTACTACAGCATATTGAAGGTGAACAAGAGTGCATCAGAGGATGATATGAAGAGATCATACAGAAGATTGGCTATGAAATGGCACCCTGACAAGAACCCCAACAACAAGAAGGAAGCTGAAGCTAAATTCAAGCAGATCTCTGAAGCTTATGATGTAATCAAATTAAACCCAGAACCCAATAAATCTACAGGATAATTTCTGTATATTTCCTTCCTACTTATTCCTAAACGTTCTCTGCTTGCTTTTTCCTTCTTTTCTCCAGGTGCTAAGCGACCCACAAAAGAGGGCAATATATGACCAATATGGAGAAGAAGGGCTGAATGAAATCCCACCATCTGGATTCGGAAATGGTCCAAATGGAGCAAATGGATTCAATTCCAGGAATGCTGAAGACATATTTGCAGAGTTCTTCGGGAGCAGCCCGTTCGGGTTTGGTGGGGGACCAACAGGAGGTGTTGGTAGATCATCGTCCAGATTCCAGTCAGAAAGCGTCGCAACCGCGACAAATGGGATGTTTGACGGCAGTAACATGTTCAGAAGCGAAGGAACAACAACCACCACTGCTCCTAGAAAGCCTCCCCCTGTGGAGAGCAAATTGTCATGCACTCTAGAGGAGCTCTACTCTGGCTCCACCAGGAAAATGAAGATCTCCAGAACTGTAGTTGACTCCCATGGGTAATTTTTCATAATATGTTTGCTCTGACTTCCAAGCTAGCTTGTTTCAAGTTGTTTACCATTTTTATTCGAAACAAGCACACCCTTATCGAGTATTTTCTTCCCACTCGTGCTTGTGACAGGAGGCAAGCGCAAGAAACTGAGATACTTACGATAGATGTGAAACCAGGATGGAAGAAGGGAACAAAGATAACATTCCCAGACAAAGGGAATGAGCAGCCCAACCAGCAGCCGGCAGATTTGGTTTTCATGATTGACGAGAAACCTCACAATGTTTACAAGAGGGATGGGAATGACCTAATGATCCACCATCGGGTCACCCTGGCGGAGGCGTTGGGTGGGACCACAGCAAGCATCGACACGTTGGATGGTCGGACCCTGTCTGTTCCAGTGACAGACATTGTAAGTCCTGGGTACGAGCTCGCCGTGGCGAGGGAAGGGATGCCGATAGCTAAAGAGCCTGGCAATAGGGGAGATTTGATAATCAAGTTCGAGGTCAAGTTTCCGACGAAGTTGACTATGGAACAGAGGGCAGGGCTAAAGTGTTTTTTAGGGGGCTGAAGCAAAGACAAATTGGGCGAGTTGGGAAAATGTTATGATGTATAGTCAATGAAGGGTTGTATAAAGCTACGTTCATACATCACTCTAGTTGTTGTGAGATTAAACTTGTTTTTATATCCTATTTTAATCTCATCTCCCTTTACTTTTGATTCTAATGTCCATCCTTCTCCAGTACACACTTCTTAGGGCCAGTTCCCATAGTCATTTGTTTTCAGACAACTCCAATGAATACAATGATTATTCTACCCTTTCTAAGTTGTGCATATTGACCATTGAGAATAGCCACAAAAAAAAGGAAGACGCTATGTTGAGCTACAGGCGTTCGTGACTGCCACAAGTTGTTCAGAGAACTAAAGAACCATGAAAGGAAACGAGCAAGGGAAGCTAAAAAGGGTATCTGTCATCTCCTAAACCTTATCTAAAAGAAGAAAGAAACAAATTTATTTACAAAATGAAGGGAAAGCTAAAAGCCTCTACTTTTAGGGGCATCTCTTGACCATTGCTGCCCGCCATAAAACTGTCCTCCATTAGGTTGTTGCTGCTGCTGGTACAAGCCATGAGGGCCCACGGCTTGATCTGCCCACCCACCGCCCTGTTGCTGCTGCTGCTGCTGCCACCCTGGCGGCGGCGGTGGAGGTGGCAGTGCACTGGTCTGATGATGCACAATAGGGTTCATCACCTGAGGAACTGGCTGCTGAATCATATTGCTGCCGTGTACCACAGTCGGCTGCCGCCGAGCTAAATGGTGCTGGGCATCATCCGGCCGCCACTCTGGCATATCGTCGTCATCGTCGTCTTTCCATGGTTGTACAGGAACCCTATTATCTGTCCAGTTTTTCAAGGGGGAGGAACCCACACCGGGCTGTCCATATCTATGTATAAGTTCTCTCATTTGGTCGACAACAGGACCACGAGGGGAGTTTGACGACTGAAAACTCCGAACACCACCGGGGAAACCCGGCGGCGGCCTATTTGCAGCATTACTATTGAAATTAAACTCAGGTAAGTCATCCTCGTCCCGGGATGATCCACCAGCCACCGGCGGACCAAACCCAGGAGGCACATCGTCGTCGTCATCATCATCACCAACATTAACCGGTGGCGGCCTGGAACGAATGGGTGGTGGAGGGGGTGGAAGGGCAGAGTGTTGATGTTTTGGGTTCCGGTTTTTCGACGAAGAGTGCTGCTGCTTCTTGGAAGCGTCTTTGCTACTATGCTTATGGTGGGGAGATATTATTTGAGGTTTTCTCCATACAACGACGCCAATTAGTCCGTTGGCAAGAAGATTAAGGGCGTCCATTTGGTCCTGCGGGAGGACCTTGCTCAGCAGGCCGCATATCCTTGAGTGAGGTGGGCATAAGTAGAGCTCAACTCCAGAAACCGGCTCCGCGAAACCTACTCGTTCGTCTCCTACATAAGACTCTGCCACCTGGGTATCAACAACCATAACTCAATCACCAGTGACTCCCAGAACAGTAAGTAGCAAGTTCAACAAGTTACAAGCTTTCACATATATAAACTTGTCTGGTAACTTACCTCTACCACGTTTGCCTTGTCACTTTCAGTCGATCCTTCCTTGCACACAAAGTGAACCGCCTGCATAGAAAGAGTTGAAAGTCTGGAGTCAGCTAAATCAAATGGGCCCTTACTATTAGGAGTATATGTTTTACATGCGCCGTTTCTATTCTACATCAGTCTAGTTTAAGCATATTGTTCTTCAAAGACATCAAATTTTGGTTGGTTGGTCGCCTGTCGGACAAGAAAGCATAAAATCGTCACAGGGATATGCTCACTCAGGATTCACATTTCGTAGGACCACTAATTGCTTTTGTTTTACTAAGCAACGCAGACGTTCCTGGAGATTTTGAGGGCATGCGATTACGCAAGAATTCTAAATTTCGCCATAAGGGTATCGATAGATTCGAACTTTCATCAACCCACGAGTTCATTGTACAAATATATCTCATCATAAACTCGAGGCGGCAATTCAGCATGATCGATGAAAATGCCTGTCCCTGCCTCGTTACCCAAGCTGGAACACTAGGAGCCAAAGCCCTCTCTCCCTTTTGCTGCTGATGTATGGAATTTAACTGAAATTTACTACAAATAAAAGAAGCCGGGGATGATACCATAACAGCACGACTTCTGGACATTGGGAGCTCTTGCAGGAACTTCTCAAATGCTTCAAGCTTCACTCTCCCCTTTATCTCGATATAGGTAGGCCAATCCTTCGATGGTGTTTTCTCCCCGCTGCCAACAGCCAAAGATTCAGCAAAGTATTGGAATCAGACATGAAGATACAAATCAATCTATCGCAAAGCAGAGCACCAAGAATTCATACATATAGCTCTGTTAATGATACATACTGGAAACTAACATATAACAAAGTAGGATTTAGTGCTTACCTTTTAAAGATGCCTACTAATGACACCATAACTGAAACATTAAGCTGCACTGAGCCTTCCCAGACTCGTTCCCCTTTAATCACATCATCAACAACAGGAGGGGAGGCAGCATCTGATTTCACATGATCTTCCTTGCTGGATTCGTCAGCAGCATCTGCCCTCACATTCATCACATCAGTTCTGGCCTTGCCAGAAGAACTCCCAGCGGGATCTTCTGGAGTGGCAACAGGAGACTTCGACTCCGAGCCAACCTGTGAACCATCATCCTTTTCTGGGGTTGTTGCTTTCCCAGCATCCTCGGGCAAGCTTTGGAATGGTGGCTCTGTGTCAAGTGATTCCATAAATTCATCGAGTGAAACAATAGGAGGAAGAAATGCAGCATCTTTGAGCTCATCATCCACCATCAGTCCTTGCATGAAATCAGATCCTTCAGTAGTAGAAGAAATAGTGAGGGTGTAAGAAGCATCCTCACCCTCTCGGGGTTTTCCCCGGTCATTTGTTTTCTCACCGTTCGGTGTAGGAAACTGTTCTTTTTCTTTCAATTTGGCTTGCTGCTGCGGCTGACTGATGAAACTTGTCCCAACAGCAACCTCTGCTGAGACGACATCCATATCATGTTCAACCTCAACTTGGAATTCACCTTTATGTGTTTTCCTCACAAGCTTTCTGATATCAACCTCTGAATCTGGTAAAACAACCATCTGTGCAAGCTCTTCTGCTTTGGCCATACGCCATTCAGAAAGCTCCTTTGATGCAAGTTCCTCAGCAGTCATGGAGCATAACCTTTCTGGTGAGATTTCTCCAGACATAACTCTTTCTCTCAATTCTGGGTTATTACGATCCTTTAAGTTGAACAAAAGAGACCTGCCTTTCTCTTTGTACTTTTTGTTCACTCCCCCAAACAACTTGAAGAGTTCAGCTTCCACCTCAGATGCCAAAATTTCAGGGTTCTGAACCTGCTTAGAAGCACTATCTTGATCTGGCGAGTTTCGGCCAATGTTGGTTTCATCTATCAACTCCATTTCAGAATCTAGCACCCATGAGAGTCCATTACCCTGAAGAAGGTCATCTTTCACAAAAAAGTTGTCACTAAATGGAATATCCTCAATGCTAACCGTATTCCCTGATTGCTGCTCCTGCAAACCAGTCGGTGAGTTCTGTACTAAATCAGCATCTTGCTTTATGTTATGGGCATTAGTGTTCTCTGACAAAGAAACCCTTGGTTCTGAAGATAGATTGGTACCATTAGCACTGGAAGGTGGTTCCGGCGACGAACCTGCTGCTTGACTCTTGTCTTTCCCACCACCAATGGCCTTATCTTGCACCAGAGCAAGTGCAGCTGCTAATGACTCTCTCAACTTGGACCTAACAGAAGCAAATGAATCACTCTTCACTTTCGGCGGGGGTTTCATTGGACCAGGTTGACTTCTCTGCACAGATGTAGTACTTTGTGCTCCAGTTTTAATAGGAGCAGTCTTTCTAGGAGGCCCTTGTAGTGGCTGGGATGACGGGGTGTAAGACGGAGACTGCATCTGGGCAGGTGGTTTATTTGTTATAGGCATTGTTGGCTGCAGCCATGGCCTATGTTCATTTAGAGTAAACCGCTTGGGAGCTATATATCTCTGGGGCACAGGGTTCTGAGGTACAGCAGCCCCCATTGGTGCCTTTCTCTTATTTGATGTTGCTAACTGCTGTGGTTCCATGTCCTGCAACATGGACCCCATGGCATTGGGCTTCTTATCAGGCATCAGGAAGTTCCCAGATGCCATATTATAGGAAAAAGGATCAATCTGTGCAGTCTCTTGTTTGTTGTTGCTAAATACAGTGGTTCCAACTCCTATGGAGGCCGATGTCTGCTGTGAAGCTGCATCACTGGGATGTGAGCCCACCATTCCCATTTGTATGATGGGAACAGATACTTGTTGCATTGAAGAATCGTGCAAGGAAGCGCCTGATCCAAAACCCATCTGTGTTGAAGGGTTCAACTTGCCTGAAATGTGTTCCAGCTGTTGACTCATTTGTATGCTCCGAATTGGTAGCTGCTGTGAAACAAGATCATTTGACATTCTAACCCAGAATCAGAAAATACTGCAGGACACCTGAAATGTAAAATAAAGATCAACAATCAGCTATACAAACTGGATCCAGTAATGATAGTAAGTGCATACATCAAGCTACAGATTGGCAATCAAAACAACAACCACACCTCAACCATAATGAAATCTGAGGCCATCATAGCCATATAAGCAAAGCAGAAAAAGGTGGTCAAACAAAATACGGATTCCTCTGACCAGTATTTGCTGGTAGCCACATCCCTTATATACATTGAATTTTACTCATTGAACAGTAATTGGTTCATTTTAGCGGCATCTCACTGAAAAATCTTGATTCTGATTAACCCTTCAGTTACATCTCATATTTGCTTTTCATTATTGGCAACTAAAAGCAGCCCAATTCTCATTATTAACCAAACCATATCGCAACCATCAAAATTGTTTCTCTTTCACTCATGATTCTTTCAAGAAGTCTGCTCTACGCTCTGGGCTCAACGGAGGGCAGTAAAAAATAAGTCCAGACACTTGGCTTTCCACTTGAATCATAAAAACCAATTGAACGCACTATTGTGTTATATAGCCAGCTTAAGCATGCAGATGCAGGGGAGGTGTGAGAGATTAAGTCTTCCCAAAGAAAACTTCTCCTATTGCTTCAAAATCCTTCAGCCGGACAAAGTTCATATCGGTTTAAGAAAAACAAAAGAATGATAGGTAATTGCACCTTCATATACATATATATTAATAATAACAATAAAAACCATGCCCGAGTACAGATTCCAACTAAGTGAACACTCCAATATGGTAGTCTTGCATCAGAG